ATTTTAACGTGCTTAGAAGCCCAGAAATGCATGTTTCAAGTTATGTTGGTTTACGGAAAATTCGTTGAAACAATAAAAGTAGCCTTAGCTGATTCGTCAATCTTTAGGTACGCGCGTTATGCTGTCTGGCATTTATAAACATTATATACAGTAGTGGTAATACTAATAGGGGTCAGAATGTGGACAGCGCTAAATTCTTACATTTTGCTGACAGCTGAATTATATAACCACTGGGCCACCTGCCCCCACTAAATGTCATATATTATATATAGTGATGCGGCATTCAGAAAATCCGATGCACACCGTGCCGTCATGCACCCATGGTTGAACTGCATAGTTCAGCCATGTCTTGCACCCGAATTGCTCTGCTAATTTAAAGAAAATATTCAAGATCCCATCTCTCAGACAGAATTTCGACCCTTCAATCGTGCATTGTCCCGGGAGCGCAGCCGTGGGTAACAAAATTGACTCGTAAACAGGCCCTGGGCCCAACGCCAACCATCAGCATGCAATATCTACACATAGACTCAGATCAATGAGCTGTGTGTAAGTGACTCATATCACCACACCATGGAGCGCAACAGGCCCTACCTACAACGCCTTACGTTAGGTTAGGTTAGGAGTATGCCCGGGGCCTGCTGCGCTCCGGCCAGTTGTGCTCCGGCGCTGTGAAACAGTGCCTGTGACTGAACGGCGCTGTTGTGGTGGGCGATCTGTGTCAAAAGCCGTAAAGATGCCCGGCTGCGTTACGCTCGGGAAGGTATATGAATCGCACTGTGGACTTGGGCTATGCTGACCTCTAGCTATACACCCCTTTGTCCCAACCTATTTGTAGGTGACAACTTGACATGCCCTAGCTATAAGTAGATATTATTGCCCGAACTATACGTAGTTGACACCAGCTATCTAGTTTTATTTCATAAAAAATTATTTCTATTAAAAAATTGGAAAAAAGTCTATCCAGCTGAGTTCTTTCAAGTCATTCCATTAAAGTTAGGGAGCTTGTTGTCAAAAACTGATTTAACATATTAACGAATACGTTCGAGTGAAAAAAAATTAATTAGTAGCACTTCAACCATGGTCTAGGGCTAGGCTGTCTTGATTCGGAATTGCCAAAAAAAAAACAGTCCGAAGCTCTGCCCTGCTAATACAGAAACAATTGCGGATTCTGTCTGTAGCTCAGTAGCTAGTAAACTCACAGTAAGGGACTCAAGTCTCAACTGAGTGTACTAGTGCTACAGGCCTCCAGGAAAAAAGTTAGGTAGGGAGTACCGGGTGGTGAACAGCTGAGTCACAAAAATCGAATCCAAAGAAGATGGGACTCGAGTAAATGTATTACGTGGGCAATTCTCAGTCAGTGAATCAGACTATCAGAGCATTTGATGTCATTCAACGCGTTCAAGAACAGACCAGGTGTCCAGGTAGATAAAGCTATGGAAAAATAAATGTTCAGACTTGAAATGCCTAGCACCCGGTGGGACATCAGGCTTGCTTACATTACTTTTCAGGCTTCAGCGCCGACATTGTTATGTTATGTTATTTGTTGTCTTTGCCTTTGTGGAACCTTGTCATTTGATTTGTCCTGGTCTGAGTCTGACACAGACTGTTCATGTTCACAACTGAAATGATCAGCCATAAGGCTGCTTAAGGCATAGGGCTAAGGCTAACTGGCTAAGGCGCTAAGCCATTTGGGTTATTTGGCATTTGATAATGATGATTGATTGTAAATTGGTAATGGTAAAAGGTAAATGGCCTATTGAGTTTTTCACTCAATTATAATGGCCTTTTTGTTGTTTTTTGACTCACTGATAGAATTCTTTTTTGTTGTTTTTTGACTTGATGAGTATTCTTTGAGTAAATTAGTTTTTAAAAATTTTTTTATCCAATTTAAATTTGTGCATTCAATTATATTATATGTATAATAAATAAAAATTAAAATAAATAAATAATAAATAATAATAAAATAATAAATAAAATAAATAATAATAAATAATGTATATAATACAAGAAAACAAACTGTCCAAGAGACATCAGCCTCTTCAGGTAAACTTTTAAAAAAACTATCTAATTTTGTCAACTTAAATCTATTAATTAAGAGGGTTATTAAATATATTATTATTCCAATCTTTAATATTAGGCAGAATTTTTCATAATTTGCAGCAGCAGCTGCAAATAAACTACTTTTTGTGAGGCAATTTTTAGAAATAATTGAAAAAATATGCCTTCTTTTCTTCATTTTTACAATTCTAACAACAGAAATTAGTCAAGGCAAGGGCTCAACTCTGGGCTACCACTATGAAAACAACTAAACAAGCGAAACTAAATTGATCTTAAGTATACAAGCTGTACAACTGTATATTGTATTATTGTAGGTAAGTGCTTTCATCTCTGGCATTTCATTCATGCTTTTTAGCACATTTTCTCATTTCTTGAAAAAAAGCCCCATTGGGTTTGTGATGTCCGTCTGTCTGTCTGTCTGACCATCCGTCTGTCTGTGACTTCACGTTTTTGTCAATGAGAAAATGCGCTCTCTGTCACTCACTGCAGTGAGTATCGAGTTATATTTTTTTCATGGTTGGTTGTGTTGACTTCTGCCTGAGTGTCCAGAATATTTACTAACTACTTGTGTCTTTCTATTAATTACTACGTTTTTCTTAGCTCGCTTTCGTGTCTGTGATGATCAAATCTTGCAATCGATATTTCACCAACTTTCCCATTAGCTAGCGCTCTGAAACTTTTAGGGAAGCTCAGCTCCCGATAACAATACAATAATCAATAATTTGTTGCACGTTTCCAGGCGTATAAACTCTAAAGGAACTCACAAGCAGGGGTTGGAACCTTTAATCAGTTTAATGCACGTCATCCTCGAGAGGATATTTGTGTTTAGACTGCGTATATCGATGATACGCTTCGTATCATCAATACGTACATCAAGTCAAGTAAATTGGCTTGCAACAACGTGTTTCGTGTGTAGCAACGGACTAAAAATGAGAAAATAAAATACTTAAAAAACTAAAAAGTAGAAAATAAAATGTATAAAAAAAATTTTTAAAGACCACGTTTTTCATGTGGACTCAAAAGTCTTGCTGGTTGAATTCTGTTTATACTGTAATTCTGTAATACTGTAAAGAAAATAAGAAAAGAACAATATTAACTAACACAAAGTAAAATGAATGATCTACCTGTCCACTCAATATATTATTAAAAATGAGAATAAAGATCATGAACGCAGGAAGGTTGTGCTATAAAAATAGTATTTACAACCCCCGGTAACATCATATCAAGTAATCACCAAACAATTAAATACATATGCGCCCACGTTTTTCGTTTTAGATGTAATTTATTTTAACTGAAATACAAAAGACCAAGAGAATGAAAGCAAACAGAGATCAGTAGCTGCCGAAAAATTATTTTCTACTTTTGAGTCCACATGAAAAACGTGGTCTTTAAAAAATTTTTTTATACATTTTATTATTTGAATGCATATCATCAGCATCAGCATGTGAAGTGTCAATTCAATTTTCTGTGTAGGATTTGAATTTTCTTTCTTGTTTTTGAAATCTTTGCCTCTAACATGACTAATTTTTGATGCATTTTTAATCTTCCAGCCCAATTGTGCACTTTTGTTAACAATTAGATAAGAGTCTTGTCAGAAGACTTGTAATAGGTTATCCATCTCAAGCATGGAAAATGTCTCCCTTTAGGACCGCGACTAGAGCTTTCCAGCCATTTCTGAAACCATGAGATTCCCGCCAGATGAACTACCTCAGATCTGATTGTTAACAAAAGTGCACGATCAGGCCACAAGTTTTCAAATGACAAATGTCTTAAAAATTTGTCATGCCGGAGCTGCAAGATTTCAGGAACAAGTAGGAAAATCCCAATCCTGATTCATCTATGCTCTAGCGGGAATCTTGCAGTTCCATAAAAGGGTGGAAAGCTCTATAAGCAGCCCTTAGGGTAGATTTTCTTTGCACTAGTGTCTGCTGAAAATTGGTTACTCAATCGTATACCTAGTTTTAAAAGTTATTATAATGATACATAAGTTATCACTTAGCCACTAATTCACTTGACTTGCTGCTTTTCAACATAAATTCTAGTCAGAAGCTCAGAACTATGTATGATATTTGAGTGGTTTGATTAACACACAGTAACTAGTAAGCTGCTACAATCCCAGCAGAATATGTGGCTGAGATTTGTTCACAAAAGAGATCATTTCTTTTAAAGGCTGGCAACATAACTGCTGTGGCAAAGTTAGTGGCATACTGGCATAGATGGAAGACCTTTACAAATTACTACTTTCAACTGAAACATTGCAGGTTCCAATAATGAATAAGATAGAAGATATATAATTTATCAAGCAAGGATCTTGCAGCTGCCAAGATTGTAAAACTTTTTATTATTAGCAAAATCTCTTAAATTTGATCTCATTTTATTGCTATATTTTTTAGAAATTTCAAATATAACAACTTGACTGTAAGCTATTGTTAAAAATCATATAGGAGATACCGGTATCTGAAATGAATGATCTAGCTTAGGATTGGAAAATTTATACTTAAATCCTAGTTCTAAAGTAACATGTTTTCAATGAACATAGAATCTTATTGCTTGATCATGCATTTTTGTTGACCATTAGATAGGAGATATGTAATCCATTTAGCACAAATCTGTGGCTTCGAAAATGGTGGGAATGCTCCAGTTGCAGATCAGAAACAAGCTATATTTCATGCCTGACACAAAGGCCTGACAATCTCTAGTGCAGAGTAAACTACATAAGCAATTAGTTAGGTTATGATTTATCTAGAGTAAAACACAAAAACCTTGAGGCTTGGCAATGAGAAAGCTCTAGTTATGACTCAAAAATAGATAATTTCCATATCTGCCTCAGCTCTTCTGCAAAGGTAAGATACATTTAAAACAGACCAGCACTGACCTTCGTTTTTCATCATATTACTTTGATATATCATTTAAATAATGCAAGGATACTTCCTTTATTTCAGAATACTTCTACTCATGAATAGAGCATGCCTCCATTAAGTAGTAAAATGAGTAAGTCAGAGTCACCTAGTGGAATATTTACATATTTCCAGGAATCTTGTATTGCCATTGCAAAAAACCCATCTGTAGACTCCATCAAAGTATTACACTCTAAGCTGGTTGACTTCAGAGAGCTGTCCAAAACATTAAGTAAAAAGCAAGATGAAAAAGTCCTCACACCACTTCTGGATTATATCATCTTCCCTCTGTTGATGGTTCTCAAAAGGAATTGGTGAGAGCAATGAGAAGTACAGCATTAAAATTATAATCTTGAATGACTTGATAAATTTACTATGTGAAGTATTTATACAAAAATAATATTTAAATCTGTGCAATATATCTGAATATTATATTTATCATTTTACTAATGTAGCAAATAAAGTATTAGTAATAGAAGTTATTATGAGTTAATTGTATTTACTTTCTTCACAGCTCATGGGAAGTGACAGAGCAAGGTCTGTTATGCATGTCCACTCTCCTTGGGCAAGCAGAGTGCTCTTCTGTAAAGAGTTTTACTACCATTTTCACCTCCTGTATTGTCATAATTGCTGACAGAGACAACCCTTCTAATGGTAAATAACTTCATTGGTTAAGCTAGTCTAAATATTGGTTGAGGTTACCTACTCTTTTTCTTGCATGGTGGATCGAGGCTATAACCATTTTTGCCTGTAAATCTATATACTATCCAGGAGTGGCTTATTCCTCCACTTCCAGAGCTTCAAGGGTATTCAAATTAGTGTAAGCATAACCCGTTTTGATATTTTAATTTACTGTATATTTAGCTTCAAATTCTTGTTCATACTCATACCTTTTAAATGTGTGTGCAGTAAGCAGTTGCAGTGAAGAATTGAAGCTTGCAGCCTTGCAAGTTCTTGGCCTGTTGGTAAGAAGCACTCCTGAGACTGTGCTACTGCAAGTGTACACCTCAACTAATAACCAGACACAGCTTGGACATGCTATCTTCTTGTTCCTAAAAATTGCTCAGCAAGAAACTAACAGATCATTAAGGTAACAGTCTTAGTTTAGATTTCTCAAGCTTATGTGCAATATGTGATGAAATAGTAGCTGATTTCTACCTTTTTTTTACAATGCATACTGTAATACAATTTTTAATACAATCTTAACAAATACATAGAAATGAGTCTACGTTCCTAATTGTTCCATGTAACTAAGAATTACAGTTAGGTAAATGGTTAAATTTTGTTGAATATATTTCTTTGTAAAGATTCTAACACTTTATTGTCATGCAATTTCAGAGTAGAATTTTTCAAATTTAATCATAATTGAAGTTGTATATATTTCACAACATTTGCAATGAATAAAACTATACCTTTTTCAGGATTTCTGCACTAGAGACTGTGTGTAAATTTTCCCTGCAAGATGTCTGGTCCAACTCCAAAAACCTCAACCAGAATCTGGTTATGGAAGCCACATCACAAGACCCTTCAATGAAGCCTGAAGTGCAAACTTCAATTTTAAATATCCCTAACAGCTGCAAAAATCAAGATGCAGATGCTCTTCAAAGCAATACAAATGAAAACATAAGCATGCCTTCCTGTTCCAGTGAAACCAGGGAAAAGCAACTTCAAAAGGCGCGAGCTGTTCTCAGTAATTTTCTACCTGGTATTTGTACAGCATCGGCACGAATTGCAGTTGCAGATGAGACTAAGGGACACAAGCTTACTGTTGTGAGTTTAATGTAAAGTAATTAACACGTTTTTCTTTACTCAGCTTCGCGTTTGTTTGTTGTTAACATTGACAACGAAAATTAACCCACTTCTGATTGCTCTAGAGATCTGAAATTCAGCATGCAGGCTATTGTCGCCTAACAATTTCAGATGCAATCATAAAAACTCGCAATTAGAGACCTAAATTAGCTTAATTGAGTAAAGTATATATATATACTATATATATAGGATGACGTGCGGGCGCTCACGTTATAGACGAGCAGGCGCTGACGCTGCGTATCATTGATACGTACGTCAAATCATACTTAATCAAATCTTAATCTTTTTTCCTGTGGACTAAAAAGTAGAAAATAAAATACTTAAAAAGACTTTAAAAAAACACGTTTTTCTTGTGGACTAAAAAGTAGAAAATAAATTATGGGTCGCCCCAAAAAACGTGTGTCGGGCAGATTTATGATTAAAGCGAAAATCACACTACACACGATTTTTGGAAATTTGATGGTGAACGTACAGCCCGACCCACGTTTTATTGGGGCGACCCATAATTTATTTTCTACTTTTTAGTCCACAAGAAAAACGTGTTTTTAAAAGTCTTTTTAAGTATTTTATTTTTTTTAAACAGTTTATGATTCGAGTTCCTACAGTGTCTTTTCTAATGTAATACATCGCTTGAAGTGTCTTTGTGGATTCGAGTTCCTGCAGTGTCTTTTCTAATGTAATACATCGCTTGAAGTAATCCATCCCTAGAGGAATATTTCCTACCTATCTTAGATGCTACTGTTGACTACTGCCATAAGTCGTAGCTACCGTACCACCTAACCCTTTACGCCCTGAATTTCTGGGATGAAAATCGTAAAATTCACTTTTTCGGTTTTAAGTCTCACTTCAAAGCTGACATTCTGACCTATCCAACGGTACCAAAATCGTCTCTGTACGTTGATTTATGCCTTGACGACAGTTCGTGAAAGGGTTAGGGGTGGGGGAGTTCTTTGTTTTCTTTCACTTTTTTGGAAAAATTCCCACGAACAAAAAAGTCTTAGATTTATCTTTTACATATGTGTACCAAGTTTCAAAGTTATCTGTCGGTAATTAAGCGAAAAATAATTTCCATAAAAAATTGGACATTGCCATTGGAAATTGGAAATTTTATTTCGGTTACTTACCGACAGATAACTTTGAAACTTGGTACACATATGTAAAAAATAAATCTAAGACTTTTTTTATTTATGTGAATTTTTCGAAAAAATGACAGAAAACGTGAAATTGTTGGAAAACCGATGTTTTTTTCTGTGTGACGAATTCGTCACGCCAGGGCGTAAAGGGCTAATGACTTTCTAAGTCAGTTGCAATTTTCTGTCTCTTATTAGGAAAATTATCTTCATTTAAACTTCCATCTTGTGCCTTCAGAATAAATCATATTTAGTTATTTATTCCTGAAACATCCTGTGCAGGCAAGTTTGGAGACCTTAAGTGTGATCATTTTGGCAGTGCTGGAGGACTCCGCTGTGTCTCATATATTGAATGAGAGTCCTGCCAGCAGTCACCTCTTGTCTCTGCAGCGGCAGATGAACATCTTACCAAGTGAACAGCCGCTCAAGGTACCTAAAACATTTCCCAATGCAAAGTTCTCTTCACATGATTTTTCCTGATAAATGTGTTAAAATTCCGTTGTTTGTTATAGCTTTATTATCAATTTTATTTTCATTTTGATGTTTTTTGTTGAAATTATTCATATTTGTTCATATTTTTTTTATATAATGCATTGCTGTGATTGAACGTTTATCTTTTTTTCTATCTATAAAGGAAGAAGGAGCAATTGAATGTTCAGGATCTGGAATGACCAAAAGCTGGCTGCAGAGCACAAGTGGCAAGGTTGTGCAGCTGGTTGAAGGAGTGTGTCGTCAGCTCGTATCTCACTCTCATGTCAACGTCAGATGTCAGCTGGCACTAATGGTGGTGAATCTTTTGCAAAGATGCTCCAGGTATTCATGCAATAAATTTCTGATGTAGAATTCTTCTGATGAATTTTTGACTTTTGGTTTCTACTTATTGAAATATAAACTTTATATTTATTATCATGTCCATGGTCATCTTGCACATTTGAAATTTGTTATATGTAGGTACTTAGTTCTTAATGGTAACTCTAAAGCCTGTTTTACACTAGATTGCCTATGTTCTTGATGTATATTAATTTTTTCATCATGTTTAATAATGAAAAAATTCCAAGATTCTCATAGAATCTGCTTTTGATGAAAAACAAGTTAAATCTTTGTCCAGTTCCAAACCAATCTTCAGCTACACAGCGTTTTATTTTATGCAAGTATCTCCAAACTGCATTTAACTATTTATGATTATCATCAGGTCACTGCCAGGTGTGATCGTCCCCTGCGTTGAGGCTCTTGCCACCTTGGCTGCAGATAGCAGTAATTCTGTTAGTTCTTTTGCTCAGTCAGCGCTGAAAAATAAGATATCATCCATAAAGCCATCACATATTTACACACTCGATCCTCTTCATGAAGAAATGCCATTACATTCACCCAATGGAATAGATGAGTTATGCAGTTCAATGAGTTTAAGTGAGCATTCAAGTGCTCCCATTTCTAGTACAACTTCTGCAAGTAAAATAACCTCTTCTGACGAGGCAAACAGTGACGTCCATCCCGTGAGATATAATATGAAGCCTTCTACAATAAACAACATGCAGCATGATCCATCGAGCTCGGGTTCTTCAGTTGAAGCAAGTTCAGTCTGTGGAACAGACTCATTTTCGAAATTAAACCAGGACGGAACAACTTTTGAGGCAGTTACATCTCCTGAAATTCGGAAAGTTATGCAAGATCGATTATGTCAGTCAATCAAACGATTGCCTACTGTCGCAAGAGCCTCGGGTTAGTCAGTGGTGATTTTTTTCAATTCACAGTTTTTTTTGTAAATTTGATGTAAAAAATTAAGTTTACCTTGGAACCTTTAAAAACACAATTCTGAATTAAGAACGACTTTGTCTTACTATGATTGTCATTGAGCCTCGGTTTATTTTTCTTCTATAGGGCTTAATAACCTATTCTTGTTGTTGTTCAGATTCATGTAGTATCCGTGTGTTGGTGCAACAACTGCGCGGCTACGTAACGTTACTAAAGGGCCCTGAACTGCAGGAACTGTTGCAGCTACCTGGCCAATGTTGCTCTCTCTTCTTGTCCCTGGCATCTTGTCTGTCTTTAGATACGCGAGACAGAGATATTCTCATGCTTCGACCTCCAACTTCTGGTTAGTAATGCTTTCATTCTCAACATTTTTGTGCACGGATATTTTCCCTCCTGGTTATACAAATTCTTTAAATAATAATTTCCATGAACGTTTCAATCATCAAATCTTGTCTAGACAATTAAAGAATCCCTTTCATGCACCAACTGGCTTTCATATTAAATAGTGTTAACCAATTATTTCTTATGCAGAAATGTGTAGCACCTCTTACAAGAAGACAAGGTTTTATATCGTGTTAACCATCATTTCTTGTCCCGACATGAGTATCATATTTTTTTCCATAGATGTTTGGAGCATCCCTGCCCTGCCGTGCTCCCTGGGCACCCGACGCAGGTTCGTACGCGACGACGACGTGGTAAGGACGTGTCAGGTCGTAGCGACAGCTGTGGGCGGTAGCCTGAACCCTGCGCTGCTGCTGCAGTTCTGGTGCGACGCCCTGCGAGCTGCACGACACCTCGCTCCTGAGCTGCTTGGCTTGCTGCCCTCCCTCGTCTCCGGTCTGTTAGGGTCTACTTTTGGCAATTTATAAACTATTTTCCGGTCTCTGAGGGTATATTTTTATCAATTTATAAACTAGGTAGTCACTCGTTAACTTCACTTCTTGTCTGTTTGTTTGTTTGTTTGTTTGTCTGCTACAAATCTTGTAATCGAAATTTAATACACTTCTACTTATCCTATCGATCTGAAATTTTGCACACTTGTGTAAAGTTGGAGACAATGCATGAATCAAATGTCAAAATAAATGATTTTAAAAATTAAAAAAAAAATTTCAATGTTAAAAAAATTAAAAAAATAATTTTGTCAACTACAAATCTTAAAACTGATATTTGACACACTTTTACCAGTCTAATTGATCTGAAATTTTGCACACGTGTGAAGTCAGAGGCAATGCATGAATCACTTAATAGAATAAATAATTTTGAAAAAAAAAATTTATACGTATACTAAAAAAATTGAAAAATTAATTTTTTTAATATTTGAAAATTAAATGAGAAATTCATTGTGCATCTGTAAGATTGGAGACACTGGATTCTTTGGAAGTGTTGCCTTTAAAAAGTAATTTTTAAACGTATATTTTATCAATTCATAAACTAGTCTCTGGTCTCTTTGGGTCTATTATTATCAATTTATTAACTCGTCTCCGGTCTGTGAGGGTCTATTTTTGTCAATTTACAAACTCGTCTACGGTCTGTTAGAACAATCTCCTTGGTATCAGGGTCTATTTTTACAACACTTCTCTTTAACTTCACTTCTTGTTTGTCTGTCTGTTTGTCTGTCTGTCTGCTACAAATCTTTATCGAAATTTAATACACTTCTACTTATCCTATCGATCTGAAATTTTGCACACTCGTGTAAAGTTGGAGACAATGCATGAATCAAATGTCAAAATAAAAAATTTTAAAAATTAAAAAAAATTATTTTTTTTTTCAATATTAAAAAAATTGAAAAAATAATTTTGCCAGCTGCAAATTTTATAACTGATATTTGACACACTTTTACCTGTCTGATTGATCTGAAATTTTGCACACTTGTGTGAAGTCAGAGGCAATGCATGAATCAATTAATAGAATAAATAATTTTGAAAAAAATTATATTAAAAAATTTACATATTAAAAAAATGAAAAACTAATTTTTTTAATATTCGAAAATTAAATGAGAAATTAATTCTACATTTGTAAGATTGGAGACACTGGATTCTTTGGAAGTGTTGTCTTTAAAAAGTATTTTTTAAACGCATATTATTACAACACTTCTCTTTAACTTCGCTTCTTGTTTGTTTGTCTGTCTGTATGTCTGTCTGTCTGCTACAAATCTTATAATCGATATTTAACACACTTCTACCTGTCCAATCGATCTGAAATTTGGCACACTTGCGTAAAATTGGAGACAATGCATGAATCAATTGACAGAATAAATAATTTTATAACTAAAAAAATTTTTTTTTATTATTAAAAAAAATAAAAAATTTTTTTGTCTGCTACAAATCTTATAATCCATAAATGACACAATTTGACCTGTCCAATTGATCTGAAATTTTGCACAATTGCATAAAGTCAGAGACAATGAATGAATCAATTGACAGAATAAATAATTTTGAAAATTTACAAAATTTTAATATCTTAAAAAAATTTTGAAAAATAATTATTTTTAAATATTTGAAAATAAAATTAGAAATTCATTGTACATGTGTAACATCCAAGACACTGGATTGTTCAAAAGTGTTGTCTTTAAAAAGTAATTTTTAAGCACATATTATTATTAATTTATAAGCGGTCTTTTCGTACCAATTTATTCGTTGTAACTGGGTGTGTTTACGTCCATTTTGAAGCTTCATTCAATGTCTCGCCCTCGGTGTTGATGAAAAACCTAGTAACCCCCTATCAATGGCATCAGGACCCTCTGTTCTACCTTTGATTTATATATCATAATCTTTTTTCATATATGAAATTAAATGTCATCTTGATGTTTGAGCGTCCATGAAGCTGCTCCCTCTACGTGCTGATGGATTTATTCTTTCCAAGTATATTTGTTAAATCAACTTTACATGTTTTTCTGTGTGAAAGGTGGTAGTAAAATGATCAGTTTACTTATCGTTTTGTTGAATGACTCAAACGAGACAATCAAATTTGTATCAAATGACTACGGTACTGGTATATTCTAACAGACTTATACTTACTCCAGGTTGCACATCAAGTGTTCCTATGCAGCCCTCGGTTCACGAAAGGGAAATATTCGTGGACACAGTTCTCGAATTCCTTTTAACTGAAGAAGCTCTCTTTTCGCCAACGGACCTAAATGCGTTCAAGAACGTCGAGAAATCTTTGGAAGTTTCCTCTGAAAATGTTCCCAACTCAAGTCACGTTGAGGATGTGGACATGTTTCTAGATGAGCCTCCCTCTAAGAAAATCGGGGTTGAAAATGTTTTGGAAAAGATATACTCTCCTTTTGGGAATTCTTTCAACCCATATGTTAGCAATGCAATTTCATCCTCGCTGAATCCAAGGCAGGTAGACGAAAATTCTAAAGGGAGCTTGCACGAGTGTCGTCGCAATGTCCTGGTGGTTAGCAACAGTCTGCTCGCGGTGGCGGCGTGCGGCCGACTGATGGGCCCGCGATTCGTGATGTTCTTCAGCCGCGTAATGTGCCCCCTGCTCGAGATGTGTGGCCACGCTAATCTCCTTATTGCCCACAGCGCCAGGTCAACATCAGTTTTGCGACTACCCGTATTACCCGTATTATCAAATATGGGCGCTATAGTTTAAAAATATTTAAATCTCCTCATTGCCCACAACACTGTGTGCATTCATCAGTTTTGCGACTATCCGTATTATTAAATATGGTCGTTAAGCCGGAAAATGTTTACATCTTCTTATGAACCACAGTGCCCGGTAAATTTATTTTAAGATATTAATTATTTGTTTTATTCCATATAAAGTAAACAGTTAAGCTCAAAGTTTTTGAATGAATTTAATGTGTGTTCTTACTTCTGGTTATCTAAAGAAACTATTGTATCAAAGTATTCCCATGTACCAACCGGTAAACATTCATCGAAATTTGCGTTTATCAGTTTTATCATACAAGAGCGTTATTTCTCTGAAATTTTTAATGAATTTTACATGTGTTTTAACTTTAATTGTAGCCATCTTAGGAACTAATTTTAATATTATTAATTAAAAAGAACAAAATGTATTAGTTTATTTAAATTTCAGGAGTTCACTGGAGGAGCTGAGTTCCAGCTGCGGCTACAGCGGCATCGTGGAGCTGGTGGAGGCAGCGGTGCCGCACTTCTGGTTCCCCCTGAGCATGCAGCTGCGCCGCCCTCGTCTCCACCCGCATGCTCCTCAGATCCTTCAAGTCAGTTTAGAATTATTCTTCAACGGGAATTGATAAACATGCTGTATGTGATTTTTACTTGATACATGCCCAGAAATTGAATATGCAATTAACTGCTTAAATGAGCTAAACAAATGCGTATTGGATATTGTTACATGGGGTGTCAAAAATCTTTAACGATTTCAACAATCTTTAACTAGAATCTTTAATGATTTTTGATACTTACTTTTCTCCTACGTGCATTTTTTTCTCATTTAAGCAGTTTATTGCATATTGCTGAAAAGTTTCACAGTCACTGCTGTGAAAAAATAGCAACATAGATGTAAGACGTAATAAAAACGTTAGTCAGGATGTAACATGGTTTACGTTGCAGGTGGCCTTGGCATGCGGCAGTGTTCGCAGCAGCGCGCGTCTGACGGACTTCCTGCAGCAGTTGATGTACGAGCTACTCGCCTGCCTCGACTCTCACGAGAGTCTACATCCCCAACAACTGCTGGCCGTCCTCAGGCTGTACATGGCCACCAAACACAAGCAAATGTGTCTTGAAACAACGTCTTCAGCTATTGAACAGCCTACAGGACACCAGCCAATATGTGTGAAACAAGCGACATGTAATGAAACTTCAGTTGTTAATAATGAAAGTAAGGCGGGAATCAATGAAGTTGTAAATTCTTCGACTTCTCAAGAATCAGACGTTTCTTGTACTGACGCAACTTTAAAAAATAAAAAACATAAGATTATTTCTGAAACTGGAAAGAACTCTCATTGCACAGATCAAATTTTGCCGAAAAAAGTCAAAGCAGGTTTGCAAGATACTGATAAACCAGTTTCGAGTCCTAATGATGATGTCAGTAGAAATTCTGGCGCCCTTGCCCTTTTCCTTGCTGATTACCACGAAAAGCAGGAAATTTCTCGGAAACAATTTGAAAAGGAACAAGCTGCAATTTTGGAAGAAGTATCTACAACTTTGAGAAAAGAAGAGGAAAAGGCCAAGTCTGCTGGAAAGAATGGTTGGGAAACTCTTACTGAAGATGATTTACCAAATTACGAAAATCAATCTGATTCAGGCTTAGGCAGAACTGAGGAAGATGGCGTTTCTGACGGTGGGAGCAAAGATGAAAAACCCGAAAATGATGAAGTCAGTGCTACGGAGCAAGAAATTCCTTCTGATGTTAAGCTCATCGTAAGCATCCTGGAAAGATGTTGTTATTTGTTATACACCCGCGACCGAGAAACATCACTTTATCTCCTTGACACAATAGAACTAGGCTGTGAAGCTTTGAAGCAGTTTGAGAACAGCCAGCTTCCAGTACTGCACAAGGTATGGAAGCCTCTCATGCTTCGTATCAAAGACAAAGACCGGCCGGTGTCACTGCGAGCCTTGTCTGTTTGCTGCATCATGGTTGGCAACAGCGGAGATTTCCTTCGTAAGCGATGCATTCAGGAACTGCTGCCAGCGTTGGCAGGATTCCTGACGCTGCAGAGTTCAGTCAGTCGCTGTCAGTCTGCACGGACTGGATATCTAATGTCCGCTGCATATAACACGCAACTTGCGCTCCTCGAGAAGCTCTACCCTGCACTTGTGGATAAACTTAAGCTCACGGGAGCAGAGATGGTTCAAGCTGTGAATGTCTACGTGCAATACATAGACCCTGCACAACCACTGCCACTTGTGAAGGTACCTTACATAACCAAACTTGGTAATTTTCAAACCATAGTGTAGAAAAATAATAAAATTTAATTTATGTTGCCTCTAACTGACGCTTTTATATTTTTTCAAAGCAGAAAGTGTACAGGTTTGGAAATAGTTGAAAGTTAGACAGTTTTATTTCCCAATTGAGTTCGCTTGAGGAAATGTCTCAACTTGACATGCGCTCACGAATTTAATATTTCCTATATTTTATAAAAATTACTGGGCTCATTCAACATTTTTGTTTCTCAGGCAAGTTTGGAGGCACTGAAGGCTTCGGCAATCACCCATCCAGGGACCGTCTGGTTTGCCTTGGGTTGTCATCTGCCGCCCACTACTTTTTCTGCGCCCTCACCGCGACATCGGACCGTCAAGGTTTCTATTTTTGAGCTTTTTGAGCATTATTCATTTTATTTTGTAGTTATACCTCATTGAAAATAGGTTAAAATAAACGGGTCGCAGCTACATGTACGTAGTTAATTCAGATTCTTATTGTGAACCATCCTAAAATATTTCTAATATTTTAAATATAATGAAATATTTCTAATTTATACTACATTTAAGTCAGTAATTTAATTAATCCGCTAATAACACCGCTTTCTAAACTGTCGGCTATTAATACAAAGAATGGATTCATGCTGAATATCAAGTTGTTATTGATTCTGAATTGTAACGTACCGTATTTTTAACCAATATGCTTCAAATACCCGTTTCAACGTGCGGAAATGTTGCTTTTCCATGACAAATGTGACGAATTTGTGTTAACACGAATTTTTTTTTTTAGCTTGGAAATAGTTTTGGAGAAAACAATTCTTATGAACCACAACCTTTCGAAAGACTATGGAAAATTTACCCCTCATTTCACGTGTTTTTACGTGAAATGAGGGTAAACGTAAGTGACATTTTTTTCACATGTGCGCAATGTCGAAATTGCGACCATTGATGACTTGAATTAATTGTATACGCGATGTATACAATAATTTGTAAATTTTCATGTAATTTACTAATTTCTTTATTCCTACTTACCCATCTAATCAATTTTTTCCCCATCAGCTGAACGGCGGTCTTGCTCACCATCGAAATCAACTCATGGCTGAGGTGCAACTACTATACGATCAGCTATCTGGAAATTCTTCTTGAATTATCATTAGTGCAGTTTTATTCAAGATCGAAATTACAATATTGTAGTTCATAGCATAATTTTGTTCTGATTTTTTGATTAAAGGTGACCATGTCGACTAAAAGTGAGGTAGTTCGCTGACTATGACATTCAACCCATTCGCAACCACATAGATTCCATTACTTGCTTTTTGTCATACTTCAGTGATGGCGTTATTACTCATCTACCTGATGCTTTACAAAAATTTAGTGATACTGGACGCAACTTCCCCAATTTACGGAGTCATTCTGGTGGAGAATTCTGTTTTAGTTTGATGAACAATGTACGTATGCAACTTTCGATACTTTGATGTTGACAGCGGCATGTTAATTTCTTTTTATTACCACGTTTTTCTTAGCTCGCTTTCGTGTCTGTCTGTCTGTGATGATCAAATCTTGCAATCGATATTTCACCAACTTTTCCGCTAGCTAGCGCTCTGAAACTTTTAGGGAAGCTCAGCTCCCGATGACATTACAATAATCAATAATTTGTTGCACGTTTCCAGGCGTATTTATTCAATGAAATGTCTTTATTACAGCCACGCACCCAGATAAATACGGGAACAACCATGTATCCCCTCGAATACAATTTTCTACAGAACTTCGAAAAGAATTTTCTTTCGTGTATTTGCGTGGCCAACTGAAATAAAATGAATATTATGTAGGATGGCTGTGTAGCAACGGACTAAAAAGGAGAAAATAAAATACTTAAAAAAAACTTTTTAAAAACCACGTTTTTCTTGTGGAGTAAAAAGTAGAAAATAAATTATGGCTCGCCCCAAAAAACGTGGGTCGGGCTGTACGTTCACCATCAAATTTCCAAAATTCGTGTGTTGTGTGCTTTTCGCTTTAATCATAAATCTGCCCGACCCACGTCTTTTGGGGCGAGCCATAATTTATTTTCTACTTTTTAGTCCACAAGAAAAACGTGTTTTTTTAAAAAGTTTTTTTAAGTATTTTATTTTCTACTTTTTAGTCCACAAGAAAAACGTGGTTTTTTAAAAAGTTTTTTTAAGTATTTTATTTTTTTTGTATTCTTCATAGTCTAGACTAGGGGTTCTCAAACTTTCTGTAGTTGAGTGTGTAGTCGAGAGCCCATACCAGCAAATAATACACTACATATTAGCATGTTGGTTGATGAGTGATCTGACTTATATGGTCTGATAATGTTTTGAAACTGTTACCACACGCTATCTACCTATTAAGGAACCTTCAAGTTGTATTCGATCACTAGCTTTGGGACACGACCACAGCAACAAGAAGGTTGGGAAGGTTTAGTTAGACTTGAGATCTCTGTTGCTCTGTTATCATGTACCACCTAAGAGTCGCTGCGAAGAACCAGAACTTGTGACTTACCAGTAGCTAATATATAGTTTCTTCCGTTCTTGGATCCACATCCAAACTTTCGTGGAGAAAATGGAGAATTTATCAGGTCCAACGAACAAGCCTGCAGTATTTATTGCGATCGTTAAACTGTCCATATTAACACGCGCAACTAGGCTATGTAAAACTATACTTATTTACCCTGTTATACTGCAAGATGCTCTGTGCAGCATACCGGTTTGGAATGTTGTTTCATTGATGAATTTTATTCCGCTGCATTGGGTTTGATGGAAACAAAATATCTTTGCTCCTCTTAACCCTCTTTTAATTTTAGTCTTTGCTTTTAACAAATCTGTGATAAAACAATGAATATTTAAATGTGTATTACACATATTCGTTTCGCCCTTTATTTGATCATCCTCTTCTTGAATTTTTTTCGTATTACCTCCAAGTATAATTTTCTCAAGACGTATTTCGTTTTTTCTTATATTTACATGATGCTAATAAATCATACAGCACATCCCTTATGTAGACGGACTTTGTATTCAAGACAAACAATGGAGTTGATATAAACCTCGGATTATTCTGTTTTGTTCACATGGATTCACAACCGCAGTCCTCAGTGTTCGTGTGTTTACGGGGGGTGGCATATGCTGCAGCTCTGTGCTAATCTTCCCAGTGAACACGCACGTATATTGTTGACTCATCGTGCTAACAAGATCCGCTCCTCACTCAACAAGACCGCTGTACACCTTCCCGTCCTTTTTTTACGCAAGCGACAGTTGGTTGTGGATGAATGTTTTGCAAAGTCGGATTTATTGACTTGCAAAAACTTAGCGCTGTGGCAAACACGTTGGTACGTTTTTAGATTCATAACTGACCCTGAGTGAATTTAAAAAGTTAAATTTCAAAAGTGTGAATGAAAATAATGAATGCAATGTATATCTGAATCAATCAATTTCGTAGTTAGCCTTTGAGAAAGCTTCTCGTTGACCTTTGTATTCAAATTAACAATACCGGCAATAAACCAAAATATCAGACGGACTGTCATCTGAGTATTTTCGTTGTTCCTAAAGTTGCTAGCGTGCGGACAGAGTGGTTTCACTGGGCTCATCGTTCATTGTAAATAACGACGGTCAGTGAGATATTACGACATTATATTCCTCTTCTATTATTTCGATCACCGTTCTTCTATTAGAGTACTCAACAACGCAAGTTCTTCATATGGTTCCGGCGATCGCAGATAGAATTTTTTTTTTGTATTTAATAACTTACAAGCATGTGTATGCATAGTAAATCCTTTTTATTCGTGACCATTTACACCAATTCCAGTCAAGAAGTGCGTAAAAGTTCCTAATCAATAGCTTAAGGTTATCATAATCGTGTAAAATATTGAGCGCTAGTGCTATTCCAGCCTTTATGTATATATATTTTCAGTAAAAAAACTGTTGATCTCAAGTGCTTAATTTTCCTCGTCCAGGTACCTGATTATCAAAACAGGCGCTTACATTGCAACAATAGCTTGCTACTTGAATTTTGAGGAGTCAATTATAAATGGTGGATATCGCCATGCTCGTGGGTTTAGCCTCAAGTTCGCTGATAGAGAGACGCTCTTTTAGGTGAGTGAATCCGTCACTGCCCCCCTGCCTTGCAAGTCTGCACAAAGCAAGCGCGGTCACTCCCTCTAGTCAGTAACCGGTTTGGAAGTTCGACGCAAGTTACGTTTAAATGATTGATAATGCAATTGGACACACTCATTTATAGCTTCTAAATCTCTCGAACTGGATATTGTTTATGTGCTACTGGTCATGCTTCAGTTGAATAAACTTCGTGTCTAACATGATTATAGAAGGAAAGAATTTAACTTAGTGAACAATACGTCCCGTTGAAAATTATAATTGCAACATAAAATTAAAACAATTAAAAACATATTTTTTAACGAAATTTGTTGAACAGTTGAGTTTTAAATAGATCATATGTTAACAAATTTTGTCAAAATTGTCAAGCGTAAGACGATCTTCCACGAAAGTGTGTGCGCATGTCTTCGATAAGCGATAGTCGACGTCTATCTGAGGAGTTGCTTAGTCTCCGCCATGTCCACGCTGCACTTCAGTGCGGGAAGACTCGACGAGCAACGACTCATGCCAACAGTAGAGACGAAGTCGTCGGAAAGAGAGGTTGTAAGCACGTAATTTCACCAGTGCATTCTCTGTGATACGTTTGTTGGGAGGGTTGAGCCGCATCGGCACAGCGAAATTTTTTATTTATGTTCACGCAATTACGTGCATTTCGACATTAATTTTAGTACAGTTTATTTGATGTCGGACTAAAGCATTTGGGTCTTCAGTTACAAGAACTTGCGTATCTCGTTATCGTAAAAAACAAAGGTTGAGAAGCCTCAACTGTAGTCTTCTTAGCAATAGCAGACTTTTTTTTCTTATGAATAATTTTGCTACAGTGCTCCTGTATGCGTAAGTTACCTAAAATGTGAAAGTACTTAAGAAGTTAAATAGGTTAGGGATTGATTACCTGAATAATTTTCTATGAATTAGCTACATTTTGGTTCCAATTCAATTATGCCATATTTGTTATACCTACGTTTTTCTTCCACGCTTATGAACTGGAATCGTTCTGTAGATACTATTCATTTATTTAACCTGAGAAATGATTTTGTGGAGGATGTACTGTGGATTCTAAAGGTACATAGTTATTGCAAATGTGCGAAATTCTACCTTTCATAGTTTTACGCTGTATCCTCACCGGTGGTAGCCTACTATAACTGGATTAAAAGTTGGACTACATGCTAGTTTCGGTGATTTTGAATCAATTCGCGCAGATGATAAATGTTAGTACTAATGACTATAAATATACAAACGTTATTCATACTGGTGCGTTGTACTATCAGAATTAAACAAGTTTGGAGAATTTTACTGTCCTGTTAACCGGTCTTTGTCGGCCATGCCAATCGGCATTGCAAGTTAGCGTCCTTTTAGCTTCACCGCTGTTGACTAGGAAAATTAATTCGTCATTACATTCTCGAAATAATTTAGTGCTTAAGAAGTTTCCAATTTGTGTAATTTGGGTTGCATATGTGAATTTTCACTGATTTGCGCGTTACCTTGTGTTAGCTTATGAATTAGGCAATGGATTAATCATTGAAGCAATGAAGGGCACAGAATCGAGGGACGCTTTATTTTGTATAATCAACGCCTGTGTGATGAGTTTCATCCGGCATCTCTCCACGTAAAATGTCAGATTTCTATGATGCTAAAAATTACGTCATGGTTGTGTAAGCTGAATGCCGTTCATTTTCATAAGCTTTGTTGAGCCAGTTAGCCAACAATAGCAAAAAGATGCTGGCGAAGTAGCAAGATTGCATGGGAGCTTAGATACAAGCGATCATTTGTCCGCATGCGAAAAAATTTAGAACTGGTTGGACTTGTTCTATTTTGTTCGCTTAGCGCGGTTTCTATTAGGGTCTTGTTAATTCTCTCGTACTAATACCTTGTAAGTTAAAGAGAGGTTTACTCGAAAACCTTTCAACGAACTTCCCACCTACCATACGAACGTATTATTAATTTGATCGCAACCATCGGCAAATTTCACACTCAAAGGTTAAATTTGACCTTTCACAGCGTCACCAAGCCACGAGGAAAGTAATTGACGTTTCTACAGGAATTATTTTTGTTGATTCAAAACCCCTTTCAAAATATATTGGCCTTCACATGACCAGCAGGTAAAGAAAGCAACGCAAGTCTTGCTCCTACGGAACTATTTTATGAAAGAGCGTTCCTACGCACGCTTGGTCGTTGCAAATTCATCCTTCTTTGCTTAGGAACAACGCATTCGCTCTGCTCCGGGAAAAAATCTGAAGTTGTTTGTCTGGTTTAGAGAATCGACCTTGACCACCCCATCTAATGCCTCCGAGCATTCCGTCCTCGAGGGCATATACTTACACAGAAATACACATCCTCTATACGAATTTCAAATTGAATGAAGTTATTCATTCGCATGCCTAACTACGTCGAAGAGATGCTGGTGGGCGTCGAACATGGTCATTCACTAATAATCTTGTTCGTAACTTATGAATTACGTTTCTGAACGAAAATTTACGCACGCTTGCATAATCTGTTACCCAGCTGTTGCCTAGTTTCTTGCGCTGTTCCCCAAATCTCGATGTAGGCATACGTGCCAATTTATAACTGCCGATTGTTTTTGTTCCCTTACAGTGCCTTGCCCGACAGTTTGAGCAACGGTACTAGTGCGGGCAAACAGAATTATATAGTCAAGGCCGAGTTCCACACTTTAGTGATGTTGGACTTATTGCAAATAGGAGCGGGCATTACTCCTGCGGCCCATGGGTTTGAGCACACGGGTCGCTCTGGCATGGTTCCGGTCATAGGGTTCAGTTTGCAGCGCAGTACGTGAGATAACCAGGGGCTAGCTCGTCTTACATCTTCGTTTATCATCTGTTTTCGTATTTATTAGTTGATTCACTTACGGTTTCAAAGTTAATAGTTTTGTGCTAATTTTTTTTGCATTACCTGTGTGTATCCACTTAATGTTGGTTTACTTTTTCTGCATGCATTAACTGTTTAATTTAGTACAGTAATAAAAGCATCATTAACTAACATGTGAATTAGCTCTAATATTTTCCACCGTATCTTCATTTATTTGCTTTCTTAATTATTGAGTTCTTTTTAGTAAATTAGTCAGATTTATCGCGAACTTGTTTTTCTGATGCTGTAATATTTTCTCGGACGAAAACTTGCACGATTAACTTGATTTCAAAGGAACCCATACATGTGTACACTCATGTGCGTTAATTCAGTGTTGCAAACATCGCGCCTGATAGTAACATAATAATGTTTTTCTCTTCAGTCTTATCGTTATTATCTCTTAAGATTATAAGAAGGCCACAAAACCCAATCATCTAGGCATGAGGATGTTCACATAACGTAATCATCGGTATTGCCCGCCAGACTCTATTTTGAAACTGTTATATAATTACTGGACCTCGTGCCCTTATCTACTAAACCCTTGGCTGGGTTTCATTATATAACTTGTCGAATCTTATGTTCTCTCTTATTATTTAGATTTGATTATCCTGCAAGGGCTTATAAATGAAATTTATGGTAGAAGGGCAGGATAGCCAAGTGTTTACATTTACAGTTGAGAGTACCAAGATTGGAGCAAAGGTGCGGGTTTGATCCCAGCTACCTGTGACCGTTAAAGTAAAATTTGTGAAGTGGCCCGGCGGTTAAACTCAGAAAAATTGGAGCAGGGAGTTGCATGTTCGAGACTCGCAATATTATAAAAATTTTACGATTTTCAGAATCTTCGATAGGTATAATGGCCTAATCAGCGCTGACACAGCTATTTTTAAGACTTGTATCTTAGATCAATGTGGGGCTCGCGCATCGTAACGATGACTAAGTTCGTTTAAATGCAGTGCCATGCAGATGCACGTGTGCTCTCCTTGTGGTCGGCAAAATTGTATACGAATGGATTTTGAGGCTAAATTAATGTTTCGTGTCCATCAATTATTATTAGTTCCATAAATTTAAATTTATTGTTTCTAATAACATTCGCACATCCGTAGCTGTTGAAACTTGTATATCAGAAAGGACTTTTCAGCATGCATGCTTCCTAAATTAACTCCTTATATGCAAACTGTTGATGAATTATAAGTATTTTCTAATTTTATTTTAATTTTTTTTTGTCCCAGACTCTAACTGTAAAAAGTATTACGTTGCTTAATGTACATAGTATTTTTACTACCAACTTTTGTTTGTGTGGGGGTTTAAATTCTGCTGGTTATGTATTTTTTTCACTAATGTAGAACCACCCTTATTATTTGATCACTAGTCTAATTGAGAGCAAGTTATATATTCTAACTTGCAATATTCTACCAAATTCATACCAGTCATCATTCTTGAAACATTCAGAAATTCAAGATCACTTGCGTCGCTCACAAACCTTAGCGGGATAAAGTTGAAAATATTTTCTGTTCTTGAATCGGGCACTTTTGAGTTGACACCTTCACTTATTTTCCTTCGTAATTAAAGTGTTCGTAACTCGTGTCCATGGCTGTTCTGTGAACTTTACGATATTTCACTGCGAGCTGTTTTTAATGGTCATGTCAGGTCTCCAATTTCGTTCCCGTGATGTGATTAAAAACTCGTCTGAAATTTCGTTTAAAAACTTGAAAATTAATGCGTCGATTTGATGCATTAAGTATTTAGAATCTGACAAGAAACCAGTGGAATACCTGCACCTCAATTACTTCTAAGAAAAAAAAATGTTGCAATATTATATTTTGGTCCTTTTTGTGTGTGCATGTGGTACTGTAATTGGTAGCTTATCATACCAAGGTCAAGGTAATCTCTTCGTAGTTACTTACCGGTATATTATCAATAATTCTTTACAAATATCTGAGCATATCAGAACCATGTTGAACATTTAAAACATATGACAAAATGATCAGTTCAATTTATCCGTATTGTCCTTTCAGTTACCGACGATGACTTATTAACGCAGATACACACTTTATACGTATTCAGATCACAGGTTTTCATAGTAGGTACATTCTATTGTAGTTTGTGTCATCCAGATCTGACGGAATTATAGTTGAAAGTGGTTCTAACAGTCCTTTTCAGTTCTTCGGTTTTGCTTCAACGATTCAGTGCTAAAAACGCCCAAGATACTCGATCTCTACCCAAGTCCTCATTTTCAATAAGTAGAGATCCACACATCACGTTCAAATAATTTTTCTTTTTTTCAATATGTACTATTTTCTGACTCTCGTATTAACCTAGAGAGTTATTCTTTGTCAGTGAATTGTCCGAGTTTCAAGGATAACCTACTAAAAGCCGGTATTAGCAACAAACGCGCGGTGATTTCCAAATAAAGATTGACCGGAACAAGGTCAGTAATAAATTCTTCATCTGTCCTGGCTTGGTGATATTTGACACGGTTATTTGAGGTGCCACCTCTCGTCTCGTGTTTACTACTTTAGTTTTGCTTTCACTCTTCTGCATCATAAATCTCATTAATGAGTATCCTCAGACTTCATGAAGAATTAATTGTGGCGCCCTGAGCTGAATTTTCGAACATTTGTCGCTGTATTAGGATGATCAAATGAGTTCGTCTGCGATTTGTTTCTTTAGTTACATGCACATTAAGCTGGTGGATATTTCTCTTGTTCGTCGAAATTGATGAACAATTTCCTACATGTCTTGCCTCAAAAGCTCGTCTAAGTATGATTTACAAGTCGTTGGCCTTGTCTTTCGACTCGAGTTAATATTACACTTTTTAGTCTTCATTGCAGCATTGTTCCATTCTTGCCATACATAATCGCAGGTTCGACTTTGCTGCTCAAGCAGCGCGTATTTGGCATGAAGGATGCCGACTTTTATTACCTATGGTTCAAAATATTCGCGTTGCTGTGGACTCAGTGCGCTGTCTTATAATTTATGTACTCCTCATTGCGCAATATCTACGGCCCGAGTTCGGGTTTCGTGTTGGAATTAATCGATTATATTAATCTCAATAATTAATCGAAGACTTTCTATAACACCTTCTTTTGCTTTGAGCGTCCTAAAGCTGACTGCAAATTTCGTAACCTTGGGAAAGACGAGGTCAGTAGTTAAATGCGGAGAAATTCTTGCTAGAAGTTGATGTAGGATCTTATATATGCTCACATGTTAACGCTCAGGAAATTCAGCGGATTTTTGCCGGGAGTTTTCTAATGAGACACCTTCACTTCGTTTCCTATTGATATTTTCAGAAAAAGTTATATTTTAATTGCATAATATCCTTTTAAGATTTATGCTGATCGAGATTTTTATTCTTACGAAATTTTTATTGATATAAATAAAAATTTATTGCAAATATCGCCAGCCCGTTTGCTCCTGGCAGTTATGAGCGATGTAACAAACGTGACGCTCATTTACTATGCGAGCAGTTCACTTTACGCTTTCCTCTTGAAACTTAACATTCCGATTACACCTGTAAGTATAAACCTGATTAATCATCATAACATACGATCATCGCGATGGTTAACAAGTATTTTGCATTTTCAGGTATATGAGTTCGTACGCCTAAAGTAAGTGTATGCATGTTACTCTCATGCAGTGCATTCATGTTACTATAGCATACAGTGCATGTGCATGTTACTATCATACAGTGCATGTGCATGTTACTCTCATGCGGTGCATGTTACTATCATGCGGCGCGGCATGTTACTATCATGCGGTGCATGTTACTATCATGCGGTGCATGCGCATGTTACTCTCATGCAGTGCATGCATGTTACTCATGTGGTGTCTGCATGTTACTCTCATCCAGTGCATGCGCATGTTACTATCATGCGGTGCATGCGATAGTTGGACCCTCAGTTACGGTGTGTACGCACTGCGTATGTTTAGTTAACCTCAATACAGGCTCTTGAGCTCACCAGCTGAACTTTGGAGCCCTGCGACACATTATAGCTTCATCAACGTGACGCGTCAATTGCTTTCAAAACGCAACTCAACAACGAGAGATGAATTGTGCAAACTGCAAAATAAACGATCGAAATCTGAAATAAATCTGCAATATTTTGTGCTTTAAATTGAAGTACTTAACACTACTTGTGATGTGTAAAGTTGAGGGGAAGTCATTGAAATGACGTTTTCCTTTTCTTGCCTTCAATTAGCCACTTTAAAGTTGAAATAACCCTCAAGAGGTTGAAATAGGATTACTGTATCCATATAACCTATAATCATTAGATCATTATAAAAGACAAGATGTAGGATACTTCTGCATGGCAAATAACTTGATTTCATCTTTATGCCCAATATTCCTCTATATGTAATTAATCTTGCAGAATGCTTTTTGAAAGGAATATGCAGGTAGAGATTAAGAATGCATAACAATTAAATAGAGATTGCCTTGATTATTGAATTAATGCCAGACTAGATTATTCTACTGCACAAGATGTCAACCGTGGCGAAAAGAAGAGAAGTAAACCTTACGGTCAAGGACCTCACATACTGGGTACCTGATGGAAATAAAGGTGAGGGTTAATATTATTCACTGAACAATTTATGGCTTTTTTTAATCTAGTTACGTATGTTTCCTTTGAAATATAGTTACGTATGTCTTTGAAATCTAGTTGAGTGTGTGTTCTTTAGAATCTAGTTAAGTATATACGTACGTCTTCCATAAGTGAAAACTGCCACTATTGTACAAAATTTGGCCTTGTGTTTTTTATTTCACCCGCCTTGAACGTTCTTCTTGGGCAATAACATTTTATTCTTCCAACGTGTCATGTCATTGTGTACAGAAATGCTGGCCATTTGTCGCCAGTGTTCAATTTTTATACGAGTTTGTACCTTTGTTCGGCGCGTGTAATGAAAATAAAGATGTTCCTATGAATAGGAATTTAACTGGCCCCATTTATTCAGTTATTTCTCTGCACTCGATACTTGTTAATCAAAACACATTGCCTGCCTTAGCGATTAAGAAATCGTTCGCAGCTTTGTTTAGGTTTTATTCAATGGAGATGAAGACCTTAGAGAAATGGTGTCAAGATAAGATTCCGAACAGTAATGGAACGTAATTGAATACTTGAGCTCGTATCAAGGACGTTCGCTATCATTAACCTAGAAAACATCTGCTGCTATCAATCGAAGCATTCATTGAAGTGTGCTCTAAGCACATGCCCGAGAAGCCATTTATTCCCCGAGTTGCTCATTAGCTTTTATCCTATGTTAATATGATGATAACTTGATTACTGCTCATGAATAAGTTTTGAGGTTTGATTGATCATTTGTTTGGATTTGAAGTGATAGCAAACGCCTAAAGTATTTGAAATGATTTCATTCTCAATATTTGAAAGATCATTTTCATGATCTTTCAGCCTCATTGTTTGTGTCATCAGTATACTTTTGGATCACTTGTGCATTACTTTATTTGACTGGTTTTCGAAACCGAATACATTTTTTCGCTCTCTCATTCCTCTAAAATTATCAATTTTGAATGTAAAAAAAAATTCCTATTCATCTTAAAAATTTGAAAGTATGAAAATAATTTATTTAATTTTTTTACGCCCATGCATCTCACAAAATTTTTTGCATTAATTTTTTTGGGTTGTCAGGTCAACGGAGTATCCTGAAGGGCATCAGTGGGAACTTCAATGCAGGACAACTTACCGCAATCCTCGGGCCTTCAGGCTCTGGGAAGACGTCATTCATGAACATCGCTGCAGGCTGCAAGTACGACAGAAACTGTGCAGTAGCGCCACGGGTTCAATCAAACTTTTGCAGCTTTTATTTGGTATATTATTTGAAAATCTAAGATTCAACGGAGTTGCGTAGATGCGGTATTTCATTGTGCAGGCAAAGAGGGTATTGTGAAGAAATTCATGCCTCTGACTGCCTCTTGAAAGAGACGAAAGTACACGATCATCAAGCATTTGTACGAATTGAATGTAGGCTTTTATTTTTATTATAAATTCACGTATAGTTGAACGCAAACTGTGATCTGGGCGAAGTGACCTTCTCCTAATCTAACCTATATGGGCAACGGCCTTCGAATTGCAGTTGCTGTGTGAGGGAAATACGTCGGACTTGCGTAACCCTCAGCGCTGTTTACCCCTACGCAGCAACTCTTGAGTGCTTTAATGCACAAATCGCCGTTTTTGTGTGATCACTTGACCAATATTTCGCGCAGTACGAATCTAGTTAAATGAATCGTAAAAATCTACATTCACGTCTGATCACTAATCAGTGATCTTTTCGAAAATCAACGCCATTTGCTACTGACGTTGTGATTTATTACCGGTTTCATCCTCGAGAGAGAATTTTTTATTCAATTCACATGATATATTTTCGTACCGCTCATGATAAATTCTTCATTATGTAGTATCTCTTGAACCACTGCAAAAATTCCCAGAGGATAGCGATCGCGTCTCAAAAAGGTGGGACTTTGCATGAATGCTTATCAGCAGTTTCCCCGCAGGGGCAGCGACATTTTTGTTAATTCACTTCTTATTTTCTTGACAGTAAAAAAGCCCATGCCTGCATAGGAAACTAGATTTGGGCGACCATTCTTGTTTCCTAAATTAAGCTCAGTATAATCAAAACCGAACTGATATTTCCATTATTTACAGCTTATGTTGAAGAGTTTTTACTGTAACGTTGAATTCTTCCTGAAAGATCACAACATCCGTTGAAATTGTTGTACTAGATAGCCGGTCTCGCATCCTATTTGCCCTCTCATTACTCGAGGCATTCTGACTTTCTAGACTATGAACTTAACCGTTGTGCAAACCAATTGACCGAGAATTTGCATGCAGGACCCGTAGGGTGTCAGGTACGATTCTGGTCAACGGACATACCAGAGATCCTATTGAGTTTCGACGTAACTCCTGCTACATCACGCAAGCCGATCACCACCTACCCTTCCTCACAGTCATGGAAGCCATGAAGGCTGCAGCATCCCTAAAACTTGGTCCAAGAGCAAAGAAAGATGGAGGCCAAATTGTGAGTTGATCTGGATACCAAACACAACTTCAGCCATTGATGTATGTCTCTGATAAAAAATAAGATTTTTAAAGCTAAATTTTTTTTGATTCACGTCATTGCGGAAGAAAAATATTTTACTGTCGAGTCATCATTCTACAATCTCAGGGTTGCAGACGATTAATGCATTCACGAATCGAAAATTTTATTTCAAAGGCTAAATTCTACAGCTGAACAAATCAAGTTCGACATCGGTCCATGCGAATTTCATTTAATGACAATCAGTTAGCGAACTGACTGTTACATGATAGCTGCTGTTGTTATAAGTTATTTTTCTATACCCTTATACAACTGAACTGAAATCACAGAGCAGAAGAATTCTTGTTTTTCTTTGTATTTACTATATTTTTCGCCAATCGCAAGGTCTTAGACTCAAGAAACAAACTTCGCACCTACTAAAGCTGTACAAAATGGTTAACAAGATCCTGAATAACGACGTAACGCATTGTTTGACAGTAGCTTCATTAAGTAGACATTTAAACGGATAATTTCTTGCCATTGTTGCCGCATCAGCTGTTGGAGATCCGGTGCAATTAAGACGCTGCTGTGACGAGTTGTAGTGTTACATATCATCGAATATTTCCTATTGTGTCAACCAATTCGCTAGTTGTGTGTTGATGGTGTAATTTTGTCAATCGCAAACGATGTGACAATACATTCTGAAATGAGCTATCATCACCGATTTTGATTCGGTGAAAATACTAATTTCATCTAGTTACTGCACCTAGTGTTTATATATAAGTACTTATATCATTAGTCTGCTTATATCGCAAGTTCACAAGGAATTTAAAAGCAAAGAAAACGCCAAGAAAATTCACCATATCGATATTGAAAACGTTTCGGAGTCCAGCTCCATCATCAGTTCGACTAAACTAAAAATGACTAAAATCACTTTAAAAGTCAAAAGTCAAAAAAGTTAAAAAAGGTGAGTCTTGACTTTTAAAGTGATTTTAGTCATTTTTAGTTTAGTCGAACTGATGATGGAGCTGGACTCCGAAACGTTTTCAATATCGATATGGTGAATTTTCTTGGCGTTTTCTTTGCTTTTAAATTCCTTGTGTTTATATATTGGTTGGAAAGCCTAGATTCATTTGTTTTGAACTAGATTGACGACATCTTGGCAAGTTTACGCCTTACGGATTGTCGCAACACTCGCATCAACGACCTCTCCGGTGGGGAGACCAAGAGGCTCTCCATCGCCCTCGAGCTTATCAACAACCCTCCTGTGATGTTATTCGACGAGCCCACAAGGTGCGTTTCATCGTCGGCATAATGCCGTGTAAATAGATATTAAAAATATTTTTAACTAACTTGACGGACTCCCCAGTCTTGGGCACGATAGTAATTGATTTTTTTTTATTTCTGACGATTGACGGTCGCAACAATTCTTAGCGTATAAGGTATAATTAAACCGTTTATGTTCAGCGGGCTGGACAGTCGCAACAGTTTCCAGTGTGTGGAATTGCTCCACTCTTTGGCACGCGGTGGTCGCACAATCATCTGCACTCTGCACCAGCCTTCGGCCCGAATTTTCCAGATGTTTGATCAACTCTACGCTTTGTCAGACGGACAATGTATTTACCGCGGCACCATCCATGACCTTCTACCTTTTCTTGATTCGGTGGGACTGCAGTGTCCGCCTTACCACAACCCTGCGGATTTCTGTAAGTTTACCATGTGGGAGAAATGATTCTGTGTAAATTTCAATGATTAAAATTAAGGTTCAATGATTTTGAATCTTGTTTTCGATGTTCTCATTTCTGTTTTAACATTTAATTTTTCGCAGTGGTGGAGGTTGCTGTAGGGGAGTATGGAGACCTAACCAAAAAACTCGCCGCTGAAATCAGTTGTCGGGATATTTCAGCTTCAAATGATATTAGTCTTGATGTTGGTGAGTCTAATTTTATACAGTGGTAAATAACTTTCCACTAGATAGATTATTAGAAAAACTTTAACCGTGGTTTTTAAATTGACTAGTTTTGTAGTAAACTCTTGCGGTTACTGAACGAACGTATATAATATCTCAATCGATAAATTTCGGAGGCCTTTACACAATTTTGATAAATAAATCTCACTTTATTGTTTGCGGGGACCCGCGATTCAAAAACGGTTGTGAATGATTTTTTATGAGCAGAAAAAATGATATCGTTTGGTATAGTTTTTCTTCAGCTAAAACCGGGTTTGCTGACGACCCAGTTAAGACTTGAGTACGTGCTAGTTTTCTTACATGAGTAACTTTCTACACTTCAACCAACCAAAATTGCATATGGATGATTTGAACTAAATTTTGTTATATTTTATCGTTACTTAGCTGCTAAATTTTTTTATTTCATAATCCAAGAATTCTTGCATATTGACTCGAATTAATTATTTTTCTTTGATTCTCTGAAAATGTTAAACAATTCATCTGAGAACAGTCTTCCTATTATTTATATGTAAACTCTTTTCAGTTCCCGCGGAAGACTTTTCGAACTCTGAGTCGCCAAGAAAGAGCAGTGCCCGTATCAGAAGCCTAGAATCATCACAGTCCACCAAACCAATTGAACTCCATCCCTCTTCCAGAGATTCAATTTCTATACAAATGGACCTTAAGGAATCTGTCCAGAAAAGTTTCGGGCATGATCAAGAACAAACGGAACGTTTCGCTTTAGACACAGTGGACTGCGAATACCCTCGTTCTGGCCCTGCTACAGCGGGCGCTTCTAGCCTTTCAACAATGAAACACGGAGTTTGTGTTTATACTGTAAAGGAAGCGAAGTGTGGATTACAAATTTCCCCGACTGACAGTCTACTAGACGACGATAATTCTTCAACGGCACGTGGAAATTTTCCGTCATCATCGTGGCTCCAGTTCAGAGTTTTGTTCCATCGCACCTTTATCACTATTATTCGTGACATGGTGAGATGGGGTCTCGGCATTAGTTTATAAATCCCAACCATATTCCCTTTCACATTTTTTTTGTACGAGACATTCTCTTTACCGGACCCAGTTCATGTGGGCGATGAACTTTTTATTAACCATTTATTCGTTCGCTTTCACGTGTATTTGTCGCACAATAGAAATCTTCAACTCGCTTGTAGATGCTGACGAAGCTTCGCCTGGGAGCTCACGTGGTCGTGGCTCTCCTGATAGGCCTGCTGTACTACGGCGTGGGGGCCGAAGCCAGCAAAGTCATGGACAACACTGGCTGCCTCTTCTTTGTCTTGTTGTTCTTCATTTTCACTTCGATGATGCCCACAATACTTACCTGTGAGATGGCACTTCGTAAAGTTGATAGTTGTTATAGACAATACCTAAAATTTTCCATTGTTTGTCAATATTTTCTCTCACACTCGTTCTTGATATTAGTTTTGACAATAATTCTATCGATATTCGCAAAATATCCATGCGCCCGGTGAAAGTTCTACTTTTTCACCAGCTTGTATATATGACCAAGCACGTTTAGCAACCTCCATGTTTTTGTATCGCAGTTCCTCTGGAGATGAACGTGCTGGTGAGGGAGCATCTCAACAGATGGTACTCCCTCAAGTCGTACTACATGGCGAAAGTTGTGGCAGATATGCCATTTCAGGTGAGAGAATGCGATTTATCCTGATCCTGAGCACTTGTTTATTTTATGTATTTCATTTTCATTTTTTATGAAAATAAATGTTAACTGATCAGATTTATATATTTCTCTTATCTTCGGTAATCCAATTTCCAGAAGTATCGCGATGCTCGCATCATTGCCAGTATCCGGATTTGGTCGTAGATCCAAACGAGAGAAAAAATATTTGTTTTCCTTATTTATTTCACCAGAATCATAATTTCTGCTTCACCAGAATCATGATTTCTTCATCGCAATTCTCATTTTCGTATCCTGTTATAAATAACAGCTGAGAGCTGGGCAATCCCACTGCTATGCATGCTTATCACAGACACAGGTGATCTTCCCGCTGATGTCGGTCCTGATCGTATATCTGATAACGGTAAAGGTGATTTTCCCGCTGATGTCGGTCCTGATCGTATATCTGATGACGGTAAAGGTGATTTTCCCGCTGATGTCGGTCCTGATCGTATATCTGATGACGGTACAGGTGATCTTCCCGCTGATGTCGGTCCTGATCGTATATCTGATGACGGTAAAGGTGATTTTCCCGCTGATGTCGGTGCTGATCGTATATCTGATGACGGCACAGGTGATCTTCCCGCTGATGTCGGTGCTGATCGTATATCTGATGACGGCACAGGTGATCTTCCCGCTGATGTCGGTGCTGATCGTATATCTGATGACGGCACAGCCTCTGGAGCTGTGGCGAATGGCTCTCTTCTCCTTCATCTGCATCCTCACTTCTCTGGTGGCGCAGAGCATCGGTCTCACCATTGGTGCTGCTTTTACTGTGCAGGTAATGACCAAATAATTATAAATGGGATTTATTAACGATTTTTTCTCGTAGAAATGATCGTTAGAGTATTTTAATCGTTCATTGTTCGATCGATTGATTTTATAGTTTCATCGATCAGCTATGTGTATAGAATTTGTACAACGAAGAAAATATTTCTAGAAATTAATCGTCAATGATTTGCTGGCAATAGTTGATGCTTCGACTACTAATTTAGCCAGTCGAAGATGTGGAAATGGCATTAATCTTGAAACATATCCTTTGAGTGCTGAATTTTGACTCCATGAAATACCCATAGATTCGGGCATATCAGTGTTTCATAAAGAAACAATCATTGAGCGGTTAAATTTTTTTGAAGCGTTTTTTCTCGCATCTCATCATCATTGATCCTGCTGCAATTATGAGCCCAGTCGTTTTGAGATACCAACGCCGTTTGAGATTTACTGAAATATTTGTTTTCCTCAGTTCTGTGTTACTTTTTCTGTCTTCCTGAACTGTCTGCTTTTTGATGTCGCAGGAGGCAGTTTTCTTGGGACCTGCCAGCATCGTGCCGCTGCTGCTTTTTTCAGGCTTTTTCATTCAGTTCTCTACAATCCCAATCTACATGAGATGGATTACCTATCTCTCCTTTGTGAGGTAATTTTCTCTCTTGAACTTAGCAGCGATTCCATTGGTAGAAATATTTCGTATACCTGTATTTTTATTAGCAACTCGAACATTTTAAAGAAAAATTCTCGAAACGAGCTCACTGAGAGAAATGGGTGGGTCTGGATGACCCACTTTGATGAGTCAACCGCGTCCGAAATTCGATGCACTTTTTTGATTCACTTGTCCCATTTGTGGGTCATACTAGATGCTAACTACGTATCCATGCTACGGGTGGCGTCATAAAAGATTTGACGTCACAAGTGAGTCATGCCTGGAATTTAATGAGTCAGTATGACCCACAAATGGGGCAAGTGAGTCGAAAAAGTGCATCGATATTCGGACGCGGTTGACTCATCAAAGTGGGTCATCCAGACCATCCCATTTCTCTCAGTGAGTACAGTTTATTAAATCTATTTTTTTATCTGCAACCTAAATTGAATGATTCAATTATTGTGAATCTATGTCTTATTTTTTCTTTTGGGTGCTGGTGAAAATGACAGATTTTCTCTGTTCCAGGTACGGTTTTGAGGGAGTTATTTTGTCGATCTACGGATTTGGCCGCGAAAATCTTGAATGTTCAGAGGCATTTTGTTATCTCAAAGCGCCCTCAAAAATCCTTGAAACGCTTGACGTATCAGAAGACAACATCTACCTGGACATCGGGATGCTTTTTGTCTATTTTTTGGTCGTCAGAGTTGTTGGATATTATGTTCTGCGATGGAAAGTTCGCAGTAATCGATGATTACGAAAGATAGACGTCATTGTCAACTCGAGGAAGTGGTGATGCTAGCGACCAATATAACTTAAATGTGATTGAAAATTGTGGAATAATATTATGCTTCTAGTCCCGCTAATACTCAATGTGGTTCTCCGCTTTCTCTGTCAAGCGCAATTATTAAATTTAAGATGACGGATGTGCATGAGAGAAACTAATTTGCGCGTCAGGAATTTTAGGCCAAGGAATTTCATGATGGAAAATTGAGATAATTCTGACTCTGAAACGATACGATCAGTATAATTTAATGACGCGGATGTAACGTATGACTAGAAATATCTATTATTTAATGACTATAATTTAAATTGATTCGACTTTGGCATGTGCATTTTTTAAACTTTGAGCATGGGAAGAATATTCCATTTTGAACCAAATTTGAATACGAGCGGCTTTGAACGTTCAATTTGCTATATTTTTTTTGCGATTTGTGTAGACGTCAATACGTACTCGTCGTATGACGTTTGTGCAAACCGACATCGTTCGAATGATACATTATCCAACCAGTTTTGTCTTCAATGAGCATTTGGAAGAAGATTTTCATCCCGGATTGCGTGGCAATTGATGAAAATCGAGAAACAATTTGTTGTCCTCTTGCATTTATTGTATTGTACAAAGTTATTGTCAAATATATGTTTTCTAATTTGTTAGCTACGGATTTCTTACTTAATTTTAAAGCTTTTTGGCTCAAGTGAAATAAGCTTCACCAACTATAGAGCCGTGACCACAAAGGTTACAGGAATCTTACATATCCTTGAAGCTCCAGCTTGCACCAACTAGAGCTCCTCGAAAGAGGACATCGTTGCCACCTACCAGGCCATCCCTAATTCTTAACTGGTCTGGTGGCAACGATGTCCTCCTTAATTCTTAACCAAGCACCTATCTGGTACCTTATCGCCCTGCGCACTGCGGTGGCAGGCCTCCAAACTATCCATCACACGGCCCTGAGCTTAGCCACCTGCTGCCTTGAAATGACGTCAATCGCCCATATCCAGCCTGAGATTGGCGTCCTCCCCTTGTCTGCCCACCTGGACCTGGCATGAGCACAGTTTTTTGACAGCGCCCTACGGCCTTCCCATGCTTCCTTTCGTATCGTCTTTGCCCTCCTCGGCACCCGACTTATTGAAGCTTCCCTCATGACGAGTTTCAGCTACCTTGAGATGCCCTTTCTGATGAACGGCTTCATGTCCGCTAGATCCTACGAGGAAGCGAACCGATTTTTCAACAGGAAGATCTCGCGTTACAGCGACCGTTGAGAATGACGTGGTCATGGCAGCTCCTATTACCTCTGCTGAAGAGGCCTCGCTCGGCGCCGACTCAGCTCCGTTTGCGTCACTGCAGTTCCCTGCCCTCTTCTAGGACCGGACGCACAACAAACACACCTGCTGCCGAGTGCGGGGATCCCCTCCAAACCGTCAAGCATTTTATTGTTTCCCCACAACCCTCATCGTCTTCTCATTGTAGGACAGTTCCGTACTGCTGGCAGCCTCTTTGGCCACCTCCTCTTCGCCTTTCTCCACCTCTGGCCCACCGCCGGAGCCGCCTCCCGTGCGTTGGCACAAGAAACAAAAGCGACAAGGTAGGATGAGTGAGCTAACACTGTACCCAAAATGTATGAGAGAAAATACCGTATCACTGTCTATGTAATGGACAAAATAAGATCGCAAGCAATTATCAGTAAATTTACGATGGGTAATGGGAATTTTCAAACGAGATCCTATTTTGAATGATGTACCTGATGCGGCGTCAGACCGAAAGAGAAATTAGAAATTCCGTAAATTAAATATGCCTTTATTTTATATACAATTGTAGAACAATATCATGCCAATGAAAATATGAGAATCAATTTCAGTTAAACACCTTAATAATATTCCTATACATCAATTTTCTATGCTTTACTTATAGATTTAATAACAGCCAATAGTTGAGAGCACGAATGACACTCGAAATTAAGCGATTTCAAGTTCGTTACAATAAATTATGTGTAGTGAGCGTTCATGTTTCGGCAGCCAATTCATATAAGTATAAACATCAAGGTAAATCGAATTAGCAACTAAAGAACTTTCTGAAAAGTGATATGGCAGTAAACCCTAACAAGTCACCGCCAGTAACGAAGATTTTTTCGCAGTGAAAATTCTACCAAGACAGTTCTGCAAGAATAACTTCACCAGTTTTCCTAAATTGAAAATTATAATCGATGTCAGAAAAATGCCAACCGTGAAAGACTGATCAAAACTTATCATCCCACTATCATGTGTTCAACATTTGTCACTCATGAAAGTTAACTTACTATACCTGATCATTCGTCCGTATCCTTTTGTTTGAATTTGGTTTTCAACTAATTACTTCTAATAGAATTATGATTAATAATCACACAATATCCATTTCATAAATAAAATTAAGTCGACAGATGAGAGAGAGAAAGAGATTACATTTGCAGTTCTTGATAAAGCGCGACAGTAGAAACAAAACACGACCATAAAAGCCCGCTCTGTCACAACATTTACTATTACCAGAAATTATCAAATGTTAAACTTTCAGTAAAAAAACCCAATCAATCCCCATCGTCCCGCCAAAAAAGTAGACTGTCTCGACTATATTAGAAGTCGCATGGTTCAATATTAATATCAGATGTTATGAGAACAAAATTTCATTGCAACTAACATCAACATTACGGAATTTAAATCACAACCACGGATACGATAAATATGGGCGAGGTGCAGTGTTCTCTACACGATGTCGACGAACGGAATGGGAGACTAAGCTTAGCACTTCGTCATCCGAGGAACCGACATATACTTTAATAAGTCTATTATATCATTGTCGAACCTTGCTCCATCTTATCTATATTTCCAAACCACAAACGATATCTCGCGAACAACGAAGTAAATAAAATCTGGGCAAAAGCAATCAGTTATTTCATGCAGAAACATACTGTACACTACTGTGTAGATAGAAGAGCAGGCAGCATTACAAGTAAGGAACGTTTATATGCGGAAGTACAAATTAACTAACATTGTCATCGCAATGCCCCAAACGATTAATATTTTACTCTGGGTGAAATTCGGAAAATGTACAAGGCAACTACTGGACGTTAAACGCTACATGCCATCAAGTCAGTAATTACGAGAAAAGATCTTTTGAATCAACAGAGATTTCACATCAATGTTAACTGGATGGTCATGCGCTGTAATTTGCTACGTTTTTCAAAATACAAAAGTTCTTGAGTCTTCTTCACAAAAATCTAAATAAGTTGCATTTCGTCTTATCCTAGCTCCAGAGAACAATGCTTCCTACAAATTGATCGTATGAGATAATAACTATAATTTTGTACAAAATCCGCGTCGATTGATCCAATTACTTGCAAATTGTTGTGAGCGTTTTTTTGCGCTCGTGCCCTCTAAACAAACGTTCAGAACTGAGATGAACAAACGCATTTCAATTGAAAACTTATATAATAACACCTGATAGCATGATTGTATGATAAGCAGCGGAGACCAGAGACCGTACTTTCAAAAAAATACTTAAGAGTTCGTAAATCAGATAACCAATCACTGCCGGCTTTTCAAGGTAAACTGTCCAATCACAGACGCGAAATATCGCGCTTCGTATCCTTAATTAAGCGACTTTGGATCGCACGACCTCTGATCAGAGCCGTGCAGTCGGAAGAAGTCGACCGAAATATGGCGGTTGTTCACCCAACGGAAGCGATGACACGATAGCTTACAGAGCTACACATTATACAATATTGAAGCGTATTATACATGCAGCACTCATCTAAATTAACTTGATTATTTTGTACACAAGTTCCAGTAAGACTACAAGCTTAGCATTCAAGTAACATCTTCGCACAGGGTTCAAGCCATCAAGAAGATAAATTTGCAATAACATGAAATGTACGAGAAAATCACCACAGTTGAGAGCTAAATAACGATTTGTCTACTAGAATGCATAGTCTTATTTGTGAGTGAATAGTGATACACTTTCTGCAGCACAAATGATAGTTTTGCACGCTCCCTCGACAGTGCTATATACAGTGCTACAGTCGACTGGACAAACAATAAAAAATCGCAAAAATTTCCAAGTGCGAGTGTTTCGAAAATCTGCAATAGACGCAAGGAAGAACTACCTTGCTAGAGAAGAGAAAAGTTCATGAAAACTTGCGTGAGATTATAACGTCGTTCTTGCGACGCTCTTCAATTAACAATGAACACACTTTCAACGCTTCGAAACTCAGTTGATTAAAGTGACCCATGCAAAACGAATGAACATAAACTGTTGATTACAAAGACATTTCGACCGGAAGTTGCTTCTCCAGGTCGAAATATAGCTTCTTCTTTCAATGGTTTTCAAACAATAAAGATGTCTTTAATCTCAAAGTGTTATCGGAAACAAACTCTGTAACGTTCAGTTCGACTAGGTTCTCCTGGAATTACCGTGGCCGAATCGACTGCAATGAACTCGACAATGATTATAGCTGACAATAAGTAGTCAAATAGTGGGCACCACCGACTACAGCGTCTCAAGTCCGTACATGTAAGCTAACAAAAAATTTTAAACCAAGTCTAATCACATATAGGTAAGACAGTACCGTATACCGTATTAGTTGTTTGCTAATCTGACATGATCTCTTATGCGAAAAGTCGGTTAGAAAAATAGCTCCACTTTCCTCCCAACTTCTTCACGCAAATAAACTCTGTTAATGTCTGATTAGCGTAAATACAAATATCAAGGACAGATTAGACACTACCAGCAGATAAGAGAAACTACGAGGGATATACGAGTCGTGTGAGCACCTAACACACCATAAGCGTCATCGATACCGCATCCAACTACAGCTTATATTAAGGGTCGAGTCGATGCTAGGAAACATGCTAAGGATCCGCTCGTGCGTTAACAATGGATGCTATGAAATGTAATAAAAAGTTTTAAACATGTACAAGTTGAAATACAATACATAAAAGTGAAGATAACGCAAACTCCAATATGCGAGCGAAGACAAATTCCTTGCTGTTTTCATAGAACCGAAGACCATCATAAGTAGTAATTAGGATAAAATTTATCAGGCAATTGCACAATTCGACAAATGGTTTTGCTCTCACCCACGCCATTGCAATCTATTGCACTGCAAGATGAACCCTGCTGTTAAGTTGGAACCATCAACCGGACATAAACCTATTTTAACAAATAACCTATTGCAAATTTAACTTGATCACAATTTGGCAATTAGAGTTACGACAGACTTCATTGAAAATGACAAATTTCTGAATCATCGTTCTCATTCCTGAGTAATACCCAGTAGCAAACGCAGAGCAAAGCCAAGTAACAAGATGAGGCCTTGAACGGGATTTCAAAAAGTAATTAGAAGAATCTTCATCAACAATGGCCGTTATTTGAGTTCAGATGCTAAAAAATAACCTTTATGCAAATTTATAATACAAAACACGCAAGTTGATCTATGGTTAGCTTGCTCTCAATTGAGTAAATAATGAACATGTATGTCAATAATGAACAGAAAAAAAAAACAAGGAACACAAAAAAATGACCAAAGAATATACATATATCCAGAAAATACGTTCAATTCAAAAATTGTGAGAATGTACCAAGCTTCACAAATAAAACGTAGCAATTAGATCGCTCTTCAAACTTTTTGAATTCTTTTTAAAATCTACAATCTATTTTCTGTGTATAAGATAAAGTTACTTGTCCATGAGAGAGCTATGAGATAAATGCAGTCTCATATAAGGGGTAAGACGGACACAGATCGCTTGAGAATATTAAGACTTTAGTCATGGTTAGTTGAACGCATCTACGTTAGCCTCGCAAGAGTTAAATTCACAAAGATACTAACTAATCATGGCTGCAGCTGAATATTATTGTACAAAATCAACAAAAAGAAATATTTACACAGGAGAAAGCATATGCCTCAAATATGACAACAGTTTACGAACAAAAAGAGATCAAAACATATTATGAAGTCAAAGGATATTAACCACACTGCAAGATAGCGAATATCGCGAAATCGCAAACATTTGAGACTCGAAAATAACAAATAATAAATTTGTTACCAGCATTCGATCCTCTTAAAAAAAGGCACTCGTGGAATATCGAGCACCTCAAACACAGATCAATTAGAAGTGTGGACGATAAATAAACATCCAAGTGCTACATTCCAAGTCCAAGCATAATGCAATTCTTATCGATGTAATTAACATGAAAAATCGTCTTGCTTAACACAATAAAAACTGTCATCTTAATAAACTAATGAAAAGGAATTTAAGGCCAGTAAAATAGATACAAAAAATGCAATGCTGATCTTAAAATTATACATAGTTGAAACAAAACAAGTCGATTGAAGGACGCAGAGATTTCAAAAATAGGTCTAGAAGAAATGAAACAGGTAAAACAGAAAAGAGAGAAGAGAATCAGATCAGTCAAAAAACTGAAGGAGTGAATCTCAGCTATTTTTTTTTATAATTGTAAAGGGAGCAAGAGGGTAATGATGGTGGACAGATAATATCAAGAAGGCGTATTGCAAAGCAGGCTAAGAGAATGGGCATATAGTTGACGAGTAACTATTAGTTGTACAAACATCCAATAGCTACAATAATATTCCAGTACAATTACACATGAACACAGTACATAACAATAGCATAAAATCTGAGAGGTTGCAACAAAATTACATCGATTAATATTATACAGCATACAGCGAAAAACCATCGCAAGTCTGTGGAGAACAAGAATCCCAAACCAACAGTTTTGTGAATTAGAGGTTGTACAGCGGGCGATACTTCTATTCATAACGCTTCGCAGTGTTTGCATCAGGGCTGCATCAATAAAACAAATTATTCTATGTGTCTAGTAAATAATTACTAGCACAAAATAGATAAGACAATAATAAAAGAATCAGCCTTGCGTTTCTGGTTCATTGCCGTTGAAAAGTTTGATAAGAGTCCTAACTGACATCCTCAGCCGTCGCACGAGTTTTCAGGAAATCACCAAGTTATCAGCGTAAAAAAGAATATGTTAATGCATCATTCTCCATTTCATAAACGAAAAAACTTGAATTTCAACCCACGTACCATATAGAAGCTAAGGAAAAAAATTGTTGAACGTATAAACTGTGGTTTCTGTTCATTTGTCTAATTTAGACGGGGAATTCAGTGAATCCTTTCCCATAAGTATCCATACAGTTAATGTTTCATGGAGATACAGTTTACCCATCAAGTTTATGTTTCATGGGCATTTTAACAATCAAAGAAAATATGCGCCATTGCAATTGTATTGCGCATGAAAATCATCATTCAACCCCAGGCTCCATCCTCAAGACCTGGTGAGTGACGTCATACGTGCCTGCTAGATAATAACATTCGCTTAGCACGTCGCTCTCATCGTCAGAGTCTTCACATGAAGATGAATCTGTGCTGCTCGCGCTACCGTTTGTACGTCCAGTTCCATCTTCGTGTTTCAGGTCAGTAGAACTCAACTCAGTTGGGTCTGATAAAGCTTCAGCAGGATCTCCGGGTATTTTGGAAACGGCCATTGCACCGACATCGCAGCCATTAGCTTCCGAAGTTGATGTAGTCCGGAAAGAAGCAGCAATCTCTTCAGTCGAGTCTAATTTCAGAGTCTTATTGTCGTTCACATTTAAGTTTGCCCCTGCTTCAACCACATCGCGATTTTCAAATGTTTCACGACCTATCTCAAATTTTTTTGTCGAATTTTCATTATGCATTTTAGTAATGGATTCTGAAACCACAGACGTCATTTCTTTTTGCATATCAGAAGAGTCGAGATCAAGAGGAATGTTTGTATCTTCTATGCAGCTGAGAACTTTCTTAGCATCAAAGCCAGCGTCTTGATATTCGCCACAGAAGGAGTTGGATTCCTTGAAGCCGTCCTCGTTCGCGTTTTCATCTGAAGTGAATTTGATATTACGAGAGCATATTATTTCTTCCTGTGCCGCACTTATCTCCGCTGTTGTGCCAATATCAATATTATTGTTTACGAGCTCACTGACCGAAACATCACAAGAAGCCTTATCTATTCGATCAGGAAGGATAACTTCATTATTTTTGTTAGGAGTTCCCGTACAGGAATGCAGCGCTTCAACGCTGGAACTGAGAGCATCAGTCGAGACGCTGCATGTACTGCAGCTTAAACCTGAGCTACTACTTCTACTCGTGTTGTTTTCTGTGTTTTCTGCTTGGTGCTCCTGGTTGTTTTTAACTTTAAGCTTTGTAAGACGAAGGTTGTGTCGAGCTCGATACTCGTCCAGCGGCAGCACCTGACACTTGTAACTGATGGTTTGTAGGTCGTTGGTGTCGCGGTGGTTGGACTCGAATAGCGCGCCCTGCAAAGCCAATTATGATGATACGACACTAATGCTATTGAATAATTCACACTTGCAAAATTGGACAATAATGCTCGTCACGGAACACGATCAAATGCATACAGTAATTCAACAAGTTAAACAACATTTCAGTTTCACATTCTAACAAAATCAATCATTCATAATCATTCAAAGCCTGCCAAAGTATAAAAGGCGATTAATACCTTTGGCTGTTTCAGTTTCTTTGGCTCGTCCTGAATTTCGTTGGGATGATAAAACCAATGCACGGTGACAGTCTTGCTGCCACCCCATCCTTCACAGAGATGCTCGATGCGCCCAATGTAGGGATTGTCCGGAGGCCCGGAGGAACGAAAAACACAGCAATCGCCCACCTGCGACCAAATTTCATCGTTACGCAACAGAATCTTTATTGTTAATCACATATCATTCGACATAACAAACAAATATAGCCGAAGTGACGTGTAGTCAAGGTGGTGTCAGCGTTGAACAGGCCCAATGCTAGACTGCCGCCGATTCTAAGACTCGCAGAATTCTTACAGCTTGCCGGGGGTTGCAAACCCGCAATTTACTGCTCAAATCCTGGTACATACTCCGGACTGTAACCACTGCGCCACCCTACTGTACTGATGAATAGGCCTTTCTGTAGTTGAAATGTCTAAGGCATTCAATCAAACGTACCCTGATATTTTCATCTCCTCGTACAATTTCTTTGTAGAAAATTTTACGACCGCGGCCTTTGCCGGTGGTTTTCTTGGACCCCCGACCGGACCACTGCCAAAGCTCCTTCTCAGGCAAGAAGGCGGCGATTTTTGATCGCCCCGAATGATGTCGTGACTTATTACCAGACATCTTATCCTGCAATAGCGGTGAAGAGAGGAAATCATTAAACCATTGTGAGGGAAATTGAGTAATCAAATCCTTAACATATACATAAATCAAAGCCAATTTTTTTCGTTCAATCCTATAGTAAACTAACCTGGTCTTGAGGGAATTTGGTTTTGCCGCCATCAGTCAATTCGCCATCAGAGGGCTCTTCATCGCCGCTGGACTCCTCGTCATCCACAGGATCATCGTCTGACCTCTCATCATACGTGATAGATTCAGCCCTAGAAGAAGATCGCTTGGGTCGCTTGGTATCATTGCTACTATTGCGAGACTTTTTAGCTTTCTCACGAGACTCTATCAGCCGCTGGGACGAGACGACACCGGGCGTGAGGCTAGAGTCCCGGTCGCATCGAGCCACGCTTTTGGCGTCAGCAATTTCTGCCGGTACATTCTCAGCAATCGCAGAGGTCTCATGATGTGGGGAAGGGTGACCAAGAGCTGATCCAGTGCACGCCAGGCCTTCGTCTAAAGTGGGTTCAAGACGGCAACTGGTTTCAACCTGGACTTTGCTGGGAGGCGGGGACTTGATACGAACTCGTAAGTCCCCATCCATCTGTTCGACGTGGGGAAAAAGCTTGAGAGAAGTCTGGTTGGAGTTTATGTCTGCTGCGGGGTTCGAGTGAATTGTTAGCGTGTTCCCAAGATCACGACCTTCATAAACCAAAGGCTCGTTGGATTCGTGCTTGTTTTTATTCCTCTTGTGCTTGTGCTTTCGTTTCTTGTGGCAAGATTCTTCAGATTTGTGTTTTTTCTTCTTTTTCTTTGAATATTTTCCATGTTCCGAAAAATGACCTGAGCTCCAGTGAGCATCCTCCGAAATTTTCTTCGAGTCTAAATCATTGAAATCCTTCTCGAGGGCCGCATCAATGATTCCAGTTTTTTTGCCGTCAGTTTCACAAAGTTTAATCTTTTTAATCTTAGGTTTTAGTTCTTCGCCTTCAACATCAGAATCTTTATCGCTTTCATGATCCCACTCACGACTGAGCCGCTTCTGTTGCTTCTTTAACGACGCCTTCTTCTTCTTCTTTGCTTTGTTCTTCTTCTTATTCCGCGATGCCTCGTCGCGAATATCCAATTGTGTAAGGTGGACAGAAGACGTGGTTGACGACGTAACTCTACACATGCCTGACGCAGACGTGGAGACCGTCAACTTGACGGAGGTCGTAGTGTCGTGAGGTGCCCCAGGCCTCGAGTCGGTCGAGTCCCTTTGAGGGGCTCTTCGCTTCCGCGTGCACAACGTCAGCAGGGGATTTGGTTTAGGAACTGGAAAAATAAATGCAATAGGTAGTAAGCATCAGTATACTTTACGATAAATATTAAAAAATTTAGTATGTATCACATAAAATTACTTTATATTTTTATTAAATCACAAAAGTTATCAAAAACATTCACGTTCAGTAACAGGCACAAAATTTCAAAAAGAATCACATATATAACAATGAATTACAGAAGTGCAACATCGGGTAAGCTATATGAATGAACCAATTAAAAACCCAAACAAGATCACCAACACAACGTAAAATAACTTTAGCAAGTTGCAAAGTTTCGTATTTTTGTTCGTAATTTTTAAAATTTACTAAGGAAGTACCACCATTAAAAAGTTCTCCCGGCAAACGCAATAGAAAAAAAGTAAATCACAAAATTTGTCTTTAAAAAAGACCATCTGACAAGCCTGGAGTGGAGCGCATGTCTCACCAGTGACGGGATAGTCTGGTGGCAGGAGCCTGATGTCGTCCACGTGTATGCGGCCGGAGTCGCCGTCGTCGAATTCCACGTTAACGAAGTTATGGAGGGAAGACGCGTCGCTGTGAGCGGGGGAAGAGCTCGGCGAGCCCACCGTGCCTGCGAATATATGATTAACTGTGATTTTGGTAGGCGTAGTTAGGTTAGATTTAGTTCGGCTAGGCTAGGTTAGGTTGGGCTTAGTATCAAAGAAAAGCCTAGGTGCAAAAACACCGGGAATCGTTGGGCTATGGACATACGATGATATGATTGAGGCTAAGCTTAGAAGTAAATTAGATAGTGAACAATCAGGGACAACAAAAACAAAATCAAAATAAAATATATAATATATTCTTATCAGTTTATACAATTTAGTTACCAGAGTAGAGAGCGCGGTATTGCTGTGACCAAAAGCAGCACACTCGAGTGCCCTCTTTCAGGAAACGCGTAGACCCAGGCTTCACCTCCTTCCACTGTAAGAAGCAAGTTTCAATAGCTTACATTCATACGCACGATTATCTAGAGAACTTAACATCGTCACAGTACATTTTACCCAAATCGTCGCGACGCTGAGCAACAAAACAGACAGATGAAATCGATATAAAAACTGAAGAATTTGCATAAAATGTACCAAAGTCAATTCAATTGTATCGAAAGTCGAAACAGAGTTACTTGAAATATATTTTCATTGAAGGTTTAGAATGAAGTTTGCGTCAATCTCGCAGTAAATGAAACCTCCTGAACTTTTTACGTCAAGGTATCAGAACAATGATAGCTAAAACAAACGAATTTATCATAACAGTGTCCCAGGCAGGCACTATTAAAAATAGTGTCAAATAATTAACTGTGTCTCAGGCAGAAAATATTAACAAAAGTCTATTAACTGATAATATTCAGGCAAACTCGCTACAAAACTGACGGCTTGAGTGAGAAGTTCTTCAGCGCAATAAATGTGCCCTTTGCTGCCGCGTTCCCCGTCGATGAGGAGACCGTAAAGGTTCGGGGGCGAGATGGGGTTCACTGAACCAGCATACAGAAGCCCGTCATCCCTCAGCAGCAGGACACGGCAACCTTTGACGAGCTCTTCCACCGCCAGATGGCATACAGATGGAATCCTGTTGCAGCTCGACAGCTGGTGCAGTCCAAGAGGGGCCGCGCCAACGGTGTCGGCCGCGATCGAGGTCGCTTTGTTGGTGTCTATAGTTAGGACCAAGAATTAAAAGCGGTCAATTCTTTCAAGGGAATCAATTGGAACAGCTGCAAAAGCGTTTGTACGATGTAAATACAATAAAAAGTCAAATAAATAAGTTACTACCGTTTGACAAGATAATAGACCCACTCATCAAGCAGTAATGGTTGCTGAAGAAATAAGCAGGTAAATATTTGCCTGGAGACCAAATTCAAAACACTATCAGCAAAACGTTGCCATGAAGTTGAATGAGTAGAATTAAAAAAAATCATTTGTCTAAACTTTATCTTTTTATGGATTATCAAGGCTAATATTTCAATTTAATGCTGAATATCAAACTGACCTTTGGCCGTTTCTTCTTTAACGATCAGAGATGTCGCGTCCGCCACACGCACATCCAAAGAAGCGAGGTCGTCACCCGCGGTCTCGGTCTTGACCGCGACCGCTTTGTCATCTGTGGACGTGCCATGGGAGACGGGGGCCGTGACGATGGCATCCTCGACGACGGCCGCCGATAGCGGGAAGGCGGACGACGATGACACGGCGGTGCTGGGAGCTCCAGACTGATCAGAGTCGTAGTCGCCGTCTTGCTCTTCTTCGGATTCGTCGTGCTCGGCGTTAGCAAGAGTAGAGCGTTTCTTGAGAGACCTGCCCAGCGATAGTTTCAGCATGAACAACACAAAAACTTAGTCAGGACATTAAATGACAAATGAATTCACACAAATTGATATTTTTAAATGATATTGAGGAAAATCAAGTGCAAATTATGTGTCAAAAATCAGATTATGTAAACGAGGCGCGATGAACTGAACTGGAATGCATAAAATTTCAGTAATCATCTTGCGTTTTTACACGAGACTCGATAGCTTACCAAACCTCAGTATTTCAATGCACATCACGACAGAAAGTAATTTAAAAACAAGACCTACACGCGGTTTCAGGTAAAGATCTATCGTTACGCCTCGTAATGAAAGGGCTCTAATATAATTTGCGTTTCTGCCCGTATTTCAACTACAACGCTGGACAAGAGTGACTTTTGTCGGCTAATATATTAACCTTCGTCATATTGACATCTGCAGGCCAGGTCACTTTACTTTGAGTGACAGTACTTTACGTTACTGCCACTTGAATGGGCGACGCACCTGAACAAGGCCTCCATTTGGTGCTGCTGCTCCACGTCGGTCTTCCTTTTAGCTTTGTCGCGCATGATGGCTCGTCGAGTTAGGGACGATGAGCCGCCCACTTTACGGCGTTTAGTAGCGTCGGGACAAGACGATGGCGTCATGGTTGGGATAGGTGTTGAAGTGACTAGAGTTGAGACTTTCATAGACGGATTAGGTGCCAGCTGAACGTCAGGGGAGTGAGTGTTGGATTGCCGAAGACTTTCCACGTTCTTCAGGAAGGTGACCTGTGTTTAGATAACCGTAATTATCACAAGAAAATAAGCAGGTGTGATCAAGCATTGCATTCATCCCAAATGAATTTTTCGTGAGAAAATCGTCCCAAATCGAGAAATCAACTTTTTTAAAAATAAAATACAAATCGAATTTTTGTAACCATAATATAAAATTTCACAAAGTTCTACATACATTATGTATTATAATCGATTAACTACTTTACGCTTCAATACATCTTCCAAATTCCATTAAAATATGTAAAAACACGACTATGGATGACGTCAAAGTGATTATGCATTACATAATGAGGATATGAACAAGGCCGAAAATAACCATAACTGAATCGAACTTGAAAGTAAACAGATAAGAATATCTTACATCAAGGTTGCCGTTGGTCTCATCACAAGAGTTATCACCGGCATCCGAAGAATCGACTGCGTCACAAATAATTTCTCGAGCCTGGGGAAAATTTAACGCAGAAATAAATATCAACATAAATTAAATTGAATTACACACGTTGAATTTAGCTATCTGCAAAGAAGATCTTGTCTTATACTATGAAAGTTAGTGAGATCCTTTTTTCGAAGCATGGAAAATGGGAGAGGTTATTTGAAGACGTGTATCCACAATACCTATCGTATCGGGATATTATATTTAAGATATAAATATTATTATTTAATATTTATACAATATATTTAAGATATATACATCAGCTCTCTTGTAAAATCATGAGGAACTGCTAAACGGGGATAAATTGAAAAAAGTAAATAAAATTAAGATCAACAGTTAATCCAATTTTAACGTAATTAAAAATTTAAAATTATGGTTTTATGCAAATTCCCCAAATGGGTCCGTCAATTTTTTTTAATGTGAGAATAAATCAGTTATTCTTTAATTCTCATGAAATTATTTCGAGAACTGCTGTGATAGCTGGAAAAGCGGTTAGTGATAGGTACTTGACTGATGAATATCAAATCGGTCAAGAAATAGAAAGAGTATCAAATTACAGAAAATTATCCTTCTTGAGCAACGCCAGGCTTGCCTGCCAATACTCAATAAATAAAATTTCAAAAACATAATGATGAGTGTGAAGAATCAATACGTCATATAGAACATGATTAACTCGTCACATACTTCGACATTTATCAATCGTTTACTTACCTCTGCGTTGAGTTTAGGCTTAACTTTTGACTTCGATGTCGCCAAGGACGAGTGTCGCAAGAGGAGATTTAGATTCTTGTGCTTTTTGGTCACTATGGTTTCAGTAGCATCTTTCTTGGTGGGGGAATGCTTCTTGGGGCGTCCAGGCTTTCTCTTCTTGGAGGAAGAACAAGGTAAAAATGTCGTCTCATGATCAGAAGACTCCACTGCTGAGGTCTCAGTGTACAGGGCTTTTGAATTAGCTTCAGAAGAATCGCTGTCGTTTCCTGCGGCAGCTTCGTCATCACTCTCATTGCGCACGATAGTCGACATCAATTGGGATTTATACGAACTCTGAGATTTGCTATCGTTAGACAGGAAAGACAAAGACCATTTTCGTCGTGGAAGGTTGTCCATCTCATCGTCAGACGATTCGTTTCCTTCATCAGTCGAGGATCTTTGCTCGCTCCGACGCGGCTCTCGCCGTGGGGATACCAGATTTTTGGACTTGAGTTTAGATATTGAGAGCGCCGGCACCGACTTGGCTTCGCTACTATCCTCGCTGCTTCGTCGAAAAGACGCAGTTTCTGGTAAACTAGTAAGTCGTTTCCGTCCGTCTTCACACCGACGGTGCTTCGCGTGACGCCCGTCAGATCGTCGGCTGCTAGATTCACTGGGAAATCGCTTCCTTTTCGAAGGTCTGCGGGATTTGTGTGTTGATGAGCACACTTCGCTTTTTGGAAATTGTCGCTGAACTTGGCGCACCTTCTCTCTGTATTGCTTAGCGAGCACCACTAATTGCCGCCTCATATTTTCTTCGGTTCTCTTCAACGAAGCATCTTCGAACCCTTCAAAATTTTGACCGTCAGAACTTGAGCTGTCGTAAGTTCCGAGGAGCTTTTCGGTGACAAGACTTTCGCAGCTGCGATTTCCGTCCGATGTTCCAGCTTGATCAGTTGAGTCGCTATTTATGCCATGAAGACTTGCTGATAATTCGTTGTCGTTGTCTTTAGTAGACCCGCTTTGCCACGAATCGTCCTTACTGGTCTTTTTTGACATACCAAGACTGAGATCGAGCGGTGATGAACACGATAAAAAGCTTTCCGAGAAAGAACTTGAACTCTGAGTGAAAGAATAAGTAGTTCCGTTTTCTTTGCAGGGACTATTCAATACGTCAGCGTCCGATGAGGTGTTAAAACTAAGTGACATAGCATCGTCGGCAGCAGCAGGCTGAGGCAAGGTAAGATCTGGTTGTATTGAGGGGATACACTTTTCGAGAGGTGGTCGTAAGAAACTAATTTCTTTATCTTGTTGAACTCTCCTAACATCGCTACAATTTGGAGTCTCGCACGAAGAAGCATTGGGTTTAAGATGCCCATAAGAGGAATCTTTTTCATTTGTGTCTCCTTTCAAGAGCTCTTCTTCCGCCAAGGCACACAAGAAAATAAAATTGTTTCGAGAGCTTGTAGGCGGAGCGGAAGAGGGTGGAAGTGAAGATGTGGTACCAGTAGCTTCAATCCTATCGCTCTTTGGATTTTTCCCATTTGAAGCACTGATAGAAAAATTTAGGGGGGCATCTGCTTGCGGATAGAAGTTTTCATCCACACTCCCGGGCACGAATAGTGGTCTATTTAATGACTGGATAAAGGGAGCCGAAGTAGCAACTGACGCGCTCGAAAGGTCACCCGAACAACTGCTTGACCTCCAACGCAAAGGTTGATCTGAAGTAGGTTCTTGGTGGCAATAGTCCACAGGTTCTTCAGAAGAAAGACGGTTAGCATGCTGTAAAACACTGCGCGAAAGCAACTCCAGGCCACTCAAGTCTAAAGCCTGTTCCTGTACGGGTGCGAAGGTGGATGGGGCTAGAGAACTGGCGGAGCTTCCGACATTTTCAGTATCGTTAGAGGTTCTCGACGACATGGATTCCGCCACTACTGGAACGGAGGCTCCGACGGACAGACTTCGTTCACTATACCTGTACAAATGAGGAATAGGGACTGTTTGCACGCTGAGATGTCGGTAGGTTGGAACGGTTGATGTCGTCGTCGTAGTTGTTACGCTAACTGCAGCGCTAGAACTGACAGTAGTGGTGATTGAAGTGGTTGCTGTTGTAACGCCTACGCAGCTCAGAGGGATGGAGAAATCGTTCAATTTAGTTTGTGAAGGAACATTAGGTACTACAGGACTACTAGTAAGGCTTGGCAAATGTCCAGAACCATCATGATTCACAGAGCTTACCGTAGAACTTATCGCTACACCGCTTTGATTTGACGAATTCTTAGTGCTATCAGGTACGCCGGATTCTTGCTTAATACTTCCACTATTATTATTATCATCATCACTAATTTTGCGGCAGCTAATTGAAAGGTCAACACAGCCGTCACCTTTCTGCAGCGTGCTAACAGGTGACATATATTCCTCCTTGATTTCTTTTTTGATTGAAATTTTGCTGGTCACCGCGGATCGTTCAGTACTACAAGTAGAATTATTGTGAGCCACTGACTGCGATGGGCTGGCATGGAGCTTGTCTAACTTAATCTTTGGAAGGGAGCCCATGTCTGTGTTACTGGTGCTGCTGTGCGACGAAGATAATTTTGATGCAAAATGAGGGCTGGACTTGGGCTGCTGTACAACTGTTGGGGTCGAGCTTCTCCGTTTTGCACTCCCTGTATTTTTTTCCTTTTTGGTGGGTAACGGCGACCTCGACAACTGTGGCGAAACAACAATAGTAGGTGGCGTGGGTAAGGACATGGAAGCTCGAAAGGAACTTAACGAAGTATCCACGTCCTTAGAGATTCCAAGGAGTACCGAGTTGTGTGATGAGGGACTGGTATCAGTGGTGGCAGAGACGTCCGAGGTAATGACCGGGATCGCCGGCGATGTAGGTGTCTGGACGAATGCTGATAAGGGATACATAGGAGGCTTGGGACAGAACAGAGGGTGAGAAGACGAAGGATACAAATAGTGAGGCAAGGTTGAAGGAAGTGGCGGCTGTAGGGCCGGCGCGAGTCCAGACGATGCCAAGCCAGTTGGTAAGACCGAAGACAAAACCGACGGCATGGCAGAAGACAACGGTGACGTTAGTCCCGGCGTCATGGATGAAGGTAGCCCGGAAAGTCCCGATAGGCCAGTCGCAAGTCCTGCAGACATGATGGGGGACATGACAGATTGTAAGTCCCCAGGATAAGTCGAAGAGGTCCTTACTGATGCTGTACCGTGTAGGAGGCTCTTGGTGCCTTCCTCTAGTCCTTTCGGAGAAGCTTTCGGAGACTCCATTTTCAAGCCACCCGCTGGCGAGCCGGTCATTTGAGAGTAGATACTCGAGGCAGGATGTAGCGTTGGAGTAGGCGGAAGGAGCGTTGGAGTTGGAGGATGAAGGGCAGGATGGAGAGCAGAGGCGTGAAGCAAAGCCGAGTGCAGCGGTCGAGGGAAGTGAGGGTCGGCCAAGAGCATCTGAGGGCTCATGAGAGGAGCCACGCCGCTGTAGCCCCACATCAAATTGCTGCTAACGTCTGCAATTTCAGTGAAAGTTGCTTATGAATGCCTCCATTTCTGCATCTAAAGTGACTCACATCAATGAAAGTTGTACGATTACTCGTAATGAATAAATTACTTTATTTAAAAATTATCATTATCATGTTCATTATAATTAAAAAGCTACTACACAATTATTTCATGCATCACAGATCGAAGTCAAGTTGAAATATAAACGTAAGAATTAGAAATACTGACCTGAATTTCGCCGAACGTAAATCAATAATAGTATAAAAAACAAACACAGAAAGAATCTCTATTATCACATGCAAAAATTAAATTAGCTTTGCAACACTAGCCTTATCCTTATGAAACCTTTCATTATTAATAAATTTGTAACATTCAACCGTCAACCACTTGAAAGCACTCACCTCTCCTAATGAAAGCTTTCATTAATGATGAATTCGTAACATTCATCCGACAACTACTTAAAAGCACTCACCTCATACTTAACTTAAGAAAAGTTTGATTAATGATTAATCTGAAACATTCATCTGACAACTACCTGACAGCACTCACCTCATCCTTATGATAGCTTTCATTAATGATAAATCTGAAACATTCATTCGTCAATTATTTGAAAGCACCCAAGTCAACCTTATGAAAACCTTTTATTAATGATAAATCTAAACATTCAACCGACAAAAACAGATAATTAGCATACAAAAGTTCCGTAACAAGTTCGGGTATTTGTACTCCAAGTGATCACATAGTATATTTGAATGGATCTTCTTTGACGAATGTAGGTACTTCGAAAAAACATTTATGATAAAAACACTTTATGATAACCCCCCACGTGTTCCTTCAAGGCATTTCTGTCCAAAATTTACCCTGGAGAGCGGCATGGTGTACAAGGATCAGGTGACGCGAGATCGGGTCCGTGACGAACTGATGATAGCCGATGGCGGGGCCGCTGCTGCTGCCGCCGGAGGTCGCATCCAAACCGCCCATACCTTTAACAGCGATAATAAAATTTAAAACGCTGCTATCGTGAGAATATAATAATTTTTTGATTAGAAATACACAAGGCGGTAATTAAAGAAGTTTTTTTATTAATTATCTAAGATAAATCACTGATAGCGAGTACCCACCATGTGGCGAAGCGGGCGCAAACTGGTGATGCGGTGTATGATGCGACAGAGAAGGCGACATGTGGTGTGACAACCAGAAGGGAGTGTGTGATGGTGGAAGAGTGGGAGCAACGGGCATGGTCGGAGTGCATGGAGTGGGAGGTAGAGGCCAGTGGGAGAGTGGTGATGATAGGGAGTGAGGAGTGACAGAAGTGCCAGTAGAGGTACTGAAGGTGCAACTCGTGGTGGAGGTGTTGTTGCGGGAGCAGCTGATACTGGAAGGACTGAGGATCACAGTGGCTCCAGAACTGCTGGCTGCTGCAACACACACACATGATTCATAGTATTACATTGCAACACGCATATATGAGTACTACGCTTTACTAACATTAAATTTGAGAAGCTGGTGAACTAAATGAAAAATTGCCGTGTACATAGCATATAATAACTAGAATACGCATAAATACCTGTGAGCTTAGCACATTTCAAATGAGCGTTATACCACTCAAGAAATACACCAAAAAAATGTTGAATTAGGATTAATTGGAATTATATGAAAAAAATTGAGCCGCCTCAAATAACAACGTCTACACAAGAAATAAAACAGTTCACTAACAAAAAACACCAAACATTTACAACACTAAGACAAGGACGTGTGAGATGACAAACTGCATTAAGTTTGAACTAAGAAACTTTCAGGGACTGGTGTCGTGTCTTCAAAAACTCGTGCCAACCTGCGGAAGTATTTATGTAAACTTTGAAATCATAGTTCATAGTTCTAGAATCTTCAACAAATAAAAAAATTTAGATGTTAATTTCATGGGAGCGTAAAAATTTTTTTCGTAAAAAAATCTATTTTTCTACATGGCTCGGCATTAGAGGTTACTACTTGAAATGAGGCGCTAATTGAGGTTTTAATGAGGTATTAATTAAAGGTTAAATGAGGCACTCAGTAGCACCTAATTAGCACACTTGTCTAGGATCGTGACTACGTTTGATACACAAAAATGACCCAGTCGTGCGTAAATTAATATATGGATTTAAAATGTACTCAAGATAAGGGCGGCAAACATCGCAACAATAGAGAATGCTTAATTACCTAAACTATATACTGCAAGAGATTAAATAGTCATAAATTCGACAACTAACTTTGATAAACAATTGTGACAATTTTTAGATGGCCCAAAAACATTGTTGAATATGTGCTAAAAATTATGAATAGAATAATATTTAGATCATTACTCACCAGGACCTGAAGGATGTCGCTCTTTCTTGAAGAACTTGGTATCGGTAAAGCTGAAAGGTTCACGTTTGGCAGCAAGCGCAGGTGGTGAGGCGGCCATACTTGTTGACACCGTCGAGGCTGCGAGTCCAGCGGATGACGACAAGGGTGGTGCAGGTAACTGACTTGTCGCCCAATTGAGAAAAGCCTTTTCGTGTTCAGACATCGCAGAAGATGTTGCTACAGAACTAGGGATGTTGTGCATGTAGTTCTCGGTCATACATCGTGATGTTGGTACTTTGTTTGGAGATTGATTGCGCTTCTGTAATTGCTGCAGGTATTCAAAATGGTGCATTTGCAACAATTGCATCTGTTGGTCAAAATCAAGCACGCTGCTGTTTTTTGAGCCCACTGATAAGAAACTATTTGATCTCTCACGAATCTCTTTGGGCGTTTCCAGAGAAAGCTTTCGTTCTTTTTTCTGCACTTTGACAGTATGATTGTGTTCGGCTGTCTTGAGATTTTTCTTGGAGACACTTTTGGTCGTACGACTCCCGCAGCTGCTAGCGAGAGCATGGGTCTGCGGTGGCTGATCGTGGGGATGTTGTGAAGGACCAAACAAGTCGGGGACGCTGGCCGTGGAGACATGAGGGCTGGTCTCACCTTTGGTTCTGGCGGCGGACGATGAAATCGGCGACGATACTGGGACCGGAGATGATAGTGATCCAAACAGGTTTGAAGAAGCGTCATGCAAATAATTGTGCCTGACGACTGTCCCTGATTTAGGGGACAAACATTGAAGGTAAGGTTCTTCGGGTGGTGAACGTGGAAGTAGCTGGCTCAAATGATGCAAAGAAGACTTGGGACTATAGACGGAAGTGGTTTTCTCCCCGTATTCTGGAGGGCTTGAAAGCAACGAAGCTGGTTTGACTTTTAAGTACTCTTTGGAACATGCTGTAGTGGCTTTGGGCGATGCCACTGGCAACGTTGGCGACGGCTTGGATGGAGATTTTTTTGGTGCTACGAGCGAAATAGACACAGAAGGAGCAGACTGAGAGTAATACGAATTAGAATTTGGAGTTGAACAATAATCTGATGATTTTTTGCTGGTAATCGAGACCGAATTGGAATTTAGATCATGTTGGTTTGATGATGACTTCAGTTCGTTGCGATCAGTTCCACCTGATAGGGCCACCAACAAGTTGAAGAACTGATCGTAGTTGGTGCAGCCACTCCTCTCAAGCAGCCTTGCTTGACTTTCAGGGTCAAACCTATGCTCCGCGAAGTAGTTCGACAAAGTCTCGTTCATACCAACGCCTGATGACAGATCACCATCCAATGCAATATTGAATTTCGCAATTCATTCGGAAGTTATTCCAGGAAAAGAATAGCGGCTGCTTTCGAGAAATAAACATAAATATGGCCGTTATCCTCTTACGCAAACTTCAATTCTAGTACGAAGAAAGTTCAACGATATAATTAAATGGAAAATTACGATGGAGATTTAAGTTGGGCAGAATTTGACGGTTCGATTGAACTCAAACTTAGATCCCAAGGCTGAGTGATGACCGACGTCGAGGATCGATCTTCAAATTCAGAGGCAGGGCCTGCGAGTGAAAAAGGATGATGCGTGTTAACAATTGCACGACATACTGGTTAGTAAATTAGTAAAGTGCTGCAATCACTTTAATAGGATGATCACATGTCACTTACGTCTGCTTTTAGAAATATCATAGGCAATGAACAAAACCATACGAGGCTATAAAAACTGATTTTACCTTAGTTCCAGTTTTTATGTATCTTTTTCAGAAACCACTAAACAACACCTGTAATATGCAAGCGTGGAATCAGTAGACGAGTTTCATAATGATGAAATATAACCTAAACGCACAGTTGGTTTCTAAGCAGTTCCGGTAACACAAGACATTGAAAGCTTGCGTGTCCGCATCAACTAAGCGCGCTGCACATACAACAGAGACCCATTGCTATTGAGCTTTTTAAGGCATCCAAATCACGTCCACTAGTCAGTTTTTCACGATATTTCTATGCTTCTTTAGCAAGAGTGCAAGCTGGCAAGCTGTACCTCCAAAATCATGCATGTGTTCTAATTCAATTTTAAGCCATGACTGAATACGGGATTCACTTGAATGATTCAGTGAAATGCGAGTTAAACATGTATGCCAGTTTTGAAATCTGCTTTAATTGTTTTTGTGCGATCCCTTTGAACATTGATATAAGCCAAAAGCAAGTCGAGTTGAATAATATGCAGAGGCAACCTCCCTGCAATACCCTTGCAAGGAAGGTGAATTAAAACGGGCATAGAACAACATGACAGGTTTACTCAATATTTGTTATACTTAGACTGTGATGGAAACAAAATATCGCATTTATAACAATAAATTCATATTCGTTGCAGGCCTTTTTGTAGTCAGAATGATACAGTCGTGGACTCGTTCTCAAGTGCCCTGAAGGTATGAATAGCCTACTCATAGAAGCAGGTATCCCCAAAGGGGCGGGACACTGCTTATGTTACACTTAAGGTGGTGCTTGAAAGCCGCGAGCTCTCAGGCAGGCTTGGCTGAATCCCTATGGGAATCTATCACTACGTATAGTCATTGTAACTCCGCTCGTAAATGAAATATCAATCTAAATTTTTTCATGCTCATTCAGCTATTTATTTACAATTTCTCTACAGTAACAAAAAATATGTATATTTTGTCTAGCATTAGTTATGATAGAGGAAAATGTTGTACATCGCTCAATCAATATGTTCATTATACTATGCGACTTACCTAATTTTGTGAGACACAAGGATATAGTACTATTTATTCTCTATTGATCGGTATTAAAGACATATCTAAATCAACCTCTATTTTGTAGATATTTTGTAACAAAATATTTTTTCATTACTGCTAAATCGGAGATTTCACATTTTCTTTGGAAGCCGCAGTTCTCATGAAGGAGTTGGGGAAAAAATGAGGGGAAACACACGTCGTAAATTACCCGCCTGTCACTCTTGCGGCGAAGGGGAGCACAATAAGGGGCGAGTAATAATGGATGGCCAGTGGTCGGCCGAGGCCAGTTAGTTCTAGCCGACCGCAGGCGATTCCTCGGCCACCTATGAGACGGCCGCAGCCCTAAGATGGGTGCTGGCTCAGGTATCATATTACAAAGGCAACAAGCTCGAGCGCAGCAACTTGCCGATCTGAACACAGAACAAGGGTTCCACATTGTCGTCGCGAATTTCTCGCTCACGGACTTCGCCGCACTGTGACTACAGGCCTTAATTCGATGTTTTTGCTGGCACCAGAGCTGCCTAATTACAAGGCCTATCGATCCCCTTGTACGTCGGTCGTGCGGGCGCATTCATCTACTTCCTCATTCATAAACTTGCCTGTTGAATGAGAGCAGCTCATTCTCATGTGACCAACTGAACTGCTGGGGGCCATACAATTAAAAATAGTTAAGACTTCGGAACTTCGTAGTTGTTAAGAGTTCGCCGCTACGATAAATTAGGTAGTTACCTGCACTAAAGCAAGTTTGAATAGTTTGGTCACAGCTTAATTTGAAGCAAACGGCTAACAAATCTTTAGAAAAGTTCACAATAGATAGATAGGAAATTACAATAAAAAACAAACACGTTCTGGAATATAAACGTTCATTAAACATCGCGCGAGGGTCACGTACACGCATCTCCCGAGAACTAGACAGTATTAGGCAATTATTGACAGTATGACTAGACAGTATTAGGCAATTATTGACAGTATAACTAGACAGTATTAGGCAAGTATTGACAGTATACCCAGACAGTATTAGGCAAGCTCCAGCAATCGCCTTGATTTTCTTGCATCAATGACATTTTTTCCTGAACACCACGCGGCTACGTTCTATCACGCAGGTGATGCATGTCATTGCGCGAACAATTGCAGGTGAAATACGACCGACACTCAGCATGGCGGTGATAGAAAGGGTAACAATAAAAAGTGTCGAGTCAGAGACCGAGCGAGCGAGATGTTCCCATGCAGCAAGACAGAGACGGCGCTATCATGCAGCGCGCTCTGTAATAAACAATGGAGCATTGCTGGACCTTGAAGCAAACCTTATGTGATAATGTCAGATATGCAAGATCGAAATATACACATGAAATAAAATAAAAAAGTACCACTTATCGAGCGTTGAACATTATGGTACATTATATACATATACTTCTGTTCATTGTAAAAATTTGCTCATCCTGTCTTTTTAAAACTACAACTAACACATAGATAGAACGGACGATAATCAAATAACTCAGAAGATAAATGCGATAAAAATAATATTAACAAGTTTTCAAGGATTTACATGTAACATAAATTAATCAAAGCCAACAATTACGAACTCATGCAGGCACCTGCAGATCCGTAGAGTTTCGAATGTTTCAAAAAAATCCTAAGTTCTGCTTGCAGGGCTGGCCCCAAAAATGAGTCTAACTGAACTGAAAGATTATAAATTGCATAATGAAAAACTACCTTCACTTAACGTTAATCAGTATAAGAGTGACGCTAACGGATAATTTTTTATGCGTATATAGAGTTGGTATGAAACCATCCACGTTCGATCGTTGCCTGGGCGATGATGTTATCAACAGCAGAGAATTTAAACTCGAGTGGCGTCATTCTGAAGAACATCGGACGATGAAAATACAACACTCACATTTATCCCAATAGTGACACCACGAAGATTGCAACACGAGATTTTTTACAGATCAGTGAATGTAAAATCAAATTTTGATGGCCTGGGGCCATACTTTCACCATTCGCTAAGTGAACGTAAGTACTTACGCTCAATTTTCTTGTCTATGATTGGTGGATTTTGCTTGAAAGGCCGTCAATGATTGGCTGATGAACTTACGATCTCTTAACTTTTTTTGAAAGTATAGACCCAGGGCTTAACAAGACTAATGCTTAACATGAAAAGGAGGCATTACACTTTAAACATTTAATCTTTGCAATGCAGTAACAGGGCTATTCGGCGCCGAAAGAAAGCTTACAATCTTTAACACTGACATTTGTTGATAGTGTAGTTAAAAGGTGATTTGATGCCTGTAAAGACCGCGGCTACATTTCAATACTAATAATTCGCCGAGTTATTAACCAACATATAATCAAGCCTCAACAAATA